TTTCATTGTAAGCTATTCTGTAATCTATATACTTCGTCTAATCTACAAACACTCGACTAAAATTATGTATTAAACCTATGAATTATCTTCTACGGTTAGAATTCTAGAAAATCTATGTGGTGCGAACCCACCTTGTTTTTCAGAAATGGGTATAAACTTCGAGATTGTCTATTAATAACAAGATCGAATCACTCTCAAAAGTTCAGTTTCAAGGATTCCATTCATTCTATAACCTCATCCACTTGAACCATAACACCATGCTCTCTCAAAATCTATTGAAATTTAGATCTTTTCAACCCAATTGGAGGCAAATTATACGATTCAAAACAACAAAACCACCAACATATTTTAGTGAACATTTAAATGAATCTCCAACTCCAATATTTGATAATGACCAATCAACTAATAACAATTCACAATACTCTTATCCATCTAATGCAAATCCTTCACAACAATCTTATATCCCACAACAACCAATTCAATCACAGTCATCATCATCTTCTTCCACAAGATTCAGTTCAATGAGAGATTTATCAATAGTATTATCTATATTAGCACTCAGTTATTTCGCAGTTGATAATTATAGAACTAGAATTGGACTAGAAGCCAAAATAATGGAACAATCAATGACACATATGAAATCATTAGCTATAACACAAAATAATTTTAATAATCAAAGACGGAAAAGAGATTTACAATTAATTAATGAACGTAAAAACATTCAAAAAAGAGAGATGAAGATGGTTTATCATATTTCAATGTTAAGAAAACAATTAATTGATGCAGGTTTAAAACCAGGTATGTTTACATTATATCAATCATCAAATTCCTGGAATACTTTACTAACATTAACTCTAGCTGAAATTGATCAAGCAATTGAAGAATTTGAAAAGAACGTCAAGATGGAATACTCTCTAAGTAATGTATCAGGAACAGCACTTTGGATAGTTGATGATTCACGTATGTATATTTCTCAAATCATAACTTCATATGATCAAGTTACTAACATTCTCATTTATAGCTATGAAAGCATATGTTCCAAACATTCATGATTATGATTCCAAAAAATAGACAAATATATATACCTAATTGTACTAAACATGCATATAAACAGTTCATATAATAAATTTATGTAGAATTATCAAACCAACTAATTTATATTAATTTGTAATTATGCCCTATATGTTACCTATTGATAGAAAAAATTCGCGGAAGTTTACCCTCCCATTCGACAATTGTTAGTATAAAAAAAAGTTCCAAATTCAAAATTTTTCAACTTTTACAACTATTTTAAAATTCTTTACAATGTCTTATAGGCACCCAGAGTCACGGTTCAAAATTATTCTTCCTTAGTTGAGCAAAGCATGGCCTTGTCATGTTTTTTCGTGCTCGCGGTAGCCTTAGATCAAACCATAAAAGTTTATCCAAAGTGATGCTTTTAGTTTTGACCAACCTTTGAATGTCGTGTCTTTCTTATTGTTTGACTACGCGGTTCTAAACGTACATGCTATCTTTTTCCTTAATTCGTTAAGTTTCATTATAATACACATATTTTATTTTGTCATTAAATAAGTTTTTTGTAGCTGATAATTTATCGCTGATGTGTATGAAGATTTGCATCTATTTTAGATTCTTTCCTTTGTTTAATCTTAAGTTCTAATAATGAAGGTAATGGACAACATGGGGATCTAGCTTCTTGACCTTGTTCTTGATAAAATGAAGTACAACATTCATAAAGTTGATCTATTACTTTAGTACATTTGGATTCATTATAATTGTGTGCTTTTAAACAGTCTTTTATTGGTTAGTAATTATGTCCCACAAGGAAACAGTTAATATCTCACTCACCTTGAATGGCACAAGCTTGTGGTTTACATGGATCGTTCTTGGACATTTGGGGAATGATTGACTTGGTTAATTAGTTCAAATATCTATTAATTATCTCAATCTCAATAAAGAGAACAATCTTTACTTATATATTGAATTCTAGTACAATCAAATTCAAATCGCAAACAAAAAATTCGCGCAAAAATATCCAAAGAACAATAATATACGTCGCTAATTTTTTTTCCTAATGATAATCTAATTATCAATTTTTAATCATCATTCATTTGAATTTTGCTCTAGAAATGTATTGTGCTATCTTGAAAATTTGTTGAAAATTTTAATTTGTTGCTATTTGCGTGGTGTAATAAGACAATTGTGATGTCGTCAGCATAGCTATATGGCTTTTGAAGTCTATGTTTTTTTTTTTATTTTCTAGGTGAATATTTAATACAAGGATAGATACAAAATCATATGATTGAATTCATCTACAATTAAGATACCAGATTATGTGTATTGGTTGAGCATCGTCTTATCGATCTTGAATATAATGGATCTTGATAAGCGTGTTTTTTTGCTTAATATACATGATTACAATTTTTTCATATCAATAAAAAATCATACATAAACGTCTTATTTTTCAAAATTCCATAAAGAAATCATCAATATTTGGATTCAATTGCCATGATTGAGGAACCAATTCATTAACTGTGTCTATAAAACTATTCTCCCTGGATCCATCAGCATCAATAACCAATTTATTTAAATTTCCAATTGAATATTGTTTAACAATATAAACTCTTTTCTTATATCTTGGATCATTGTTAACCACTGGTAATTTAAATTGGGCCCCATTAACTGGTTTTTCATCAATCAATAACATATCAACATCATCAACATTATAATTCAAGTTAATAATCAATTTAGCAGGTTCATCTGTAATCATATTACTAATTTCAAAACTTTTCTCACCAACAAGAAATTCAATTTTATAAGAATCATCATTATATACTTTAAATTCATATTGAATCAGATATTTTAAAAGATTGAAAACAATTTCAGCATCATTATATTTCATTTCATTTTGATAAAAGATTGAAAGTTTCTTAATATTTGCACTATAACAATAATGAACTATTTTACTCATATTTGAAAATAATTGAACATCATTATCATTTTTATTGTATAAATAACCAATATGTTTAATATTTGATGATGGATTATATGGTTCAAACTCAATGAAAAAGCTCAGGAAAAAATTGATTAAATCATACTGGAAAAGGAATTTAGACCAATCATTATAAAATTCAATGAAATAACAACTAATGAACCAATATATTGATAATATGGTTTGAATAAATTCCCCTATATTGGACTTTTGAAATTTGAAATCTAAATCACTAAGCTCATCATAAGAATAATCAAAATCTAAGATTGTTGGATTGTTTAAAACTTCCCAAAAAGTTTTCCCTATTGCTGTTTTACCAAATGTTGAGAACATGATGTTGATGGCTATTGACTGTCTTGTGACTTAATGGCTATAATAACCCAGATATTTGTTGGTATGCTGATGTGTCGTTGTTATATACATGGTGCTAATGCTGATTTGGCGGGTATATTAATTTTTGTTACACAAACCCAAAAAAAAATTAGAATTTTGAAACAGCTCAATATTCATGACTAGACCAAATACAGAGATCACTTCATTAACTAAATCATTACGAATTACAAAGCGGTTCCACTCAAATGGTCAAATATCAAAGTAAAGTTTTATTTTGATTTATGATCTGATTATCTGAATGTCATTCTTGTGGTAAGAGACAAAATAATCAATACCGTTACCATATAAATCAATTGAATATACACAGAATGTGAACGAAAACACCAAATAAACTTTTGATCAATTCCATTTTGGTCAGTTTGTCATGAATGTAAAGAATATGATTAATTATCATCATCATCAGATCATGATGATCATCATCATAATTTTTACCCTGTAGTTATAACGCGAAAATCGGATTCTTATTTTAAGTCTTATAGAATCTTATTACCGATCTTAATAACCTCTAAATTTCAGATTATTCAATCCTTCTAGACAACAATGGGCAGAAAAACAGATACAATTATATTAATAGCTTCTTTTGCTATGTTTTTATTACCAAGGGAAGTCTCCTTGTCTATATACTCAGATCTTAAACATACATGATGTTCTTTAAGCTTAACAGATCAATACAAATTATTTGGTGCATTTCTGTTTTATAGAATAGTTAGTGTTTTTAAAATATGCCTTAAGAAACAAAATCATGATATTATAAGTCCTTGGTATCATACAGCAAGTGTTACGGGGAGTATAATATTAACAATGCTGTTATCATGGTTATTAATATCGTTATTTGGTTGGAGAGATTTCATTATAACATTAAATGATATACAAAGCCCAATATCAGTTTGAATCCATGTAGATTTATATTTTGAATTTTGAGAAGTTGATTCATATATGGTTTTTATGAAAACATCCAACATGTAATTGTAAAATTTGGTTTAATTTCAGCAATTGATACTGATGATATTGTTAACTGGGTTAGTATGTGCTGTATCGCATATGTAATATTATATAAAAGTTCATTCTGCATAATATATACTGTTGTTTTCCAGCTCGAGTCCTAGAGTTATATATAAACAAGTAGCTAAACAGTAATAAAATTAGTAGATCGAAAAGCACAACAATCTTACATATGAATGAAATTCAGCTATTAAGTTTAATCTTGTGTATTCATTATACGTTTCTATAATTGAAGTCAACTCTCTATCACTCTGTATCCACTCCAATAGCCGCTGTATATCTTAATTATATAATCTAATAACTATCAAAAGGTTTATAAAGTTTATATATTGAAATCCATATAAAAATGTTGAGGCCGCTTAAACCCGGTGTACAAATTTACAATCTCATCAATAAAAAAGGACTTTAAGAGAAAATATGGGTTGAAAATTAATTTAATATAATTATTTTTATCTGAATAATACTATGAACCTAATGAATCTTCAATTAAAGCACTTTTAAAATTTGAGATTTTTAATATTTTTCAAAATGTTGACCTCCATAATTTTATATGTACATTAAAATTAAAAATTTCAAAAATCTTCAAAATTTATATATAATGCAAAGTATTATTTTGGTGTTATAATATATATTGATGAATCCAGAAAGTTCTATTGATCATAAATACATGCAGACATTCTTATACTATTGAATTTAAAAAGAGTTAATGTAAATTATTTAACTTATCAACTCTTGATGATTCAGCGGTTACTAAGCACTTGATAAAAATACTTCGCGAATTTCAAATTATTGTCAAAATTATGCTTTAAAATATGCTTTTGTAATTAAATTAAGAATATGTTGTTGCATTAAGAAATGTTTGACCAGCTTGCGTCACTTCGAGTGGTTGATTGTTGATTTTCCAAGTTCTATACCAAGCTTGTTAACGGCTAAAAAACGAATAGATTTTCATATATTGCATGTGTTGATCGTTTAACCAAAAGTTGTTTGCACATACATTACTTATGAGGAATTGTGGTCATCAGATGAGTTCAGAAATTTTTTGTAGAATTTGGATAAGATTTCATTTGGGTTTACAACTAAATATTTATGATAATCATACTTAAAAATGAAGCAATCAAAACTCTTTTGAAGAGATGTTGATTTGAGGAATATATTTATAATCTTGTTGTATTAAAGCACTATACATATCTATATATCAAGTTTTTTATTCATATTGATTTGTTTACAATAATCGATTGATAATTAATTCTTTGAATATATACAATACTTTTTCAATTAGATTGATTGTAAAGTGTATATATAATGAAGTTTGAATAATCGAAGTAATTGTGAACTTTGTCAGAATTGATATGGTTAGAAGCGCTGTTGATTATAGTAAAAAAAAAATATAAAAATTTCGAAATTTTCATTTTTCAACTTTATTAACTAAATCGCTGACGTCTGCAATTTTGAAGTCGTTTTCCATTAAGTCCAGCGCAAATTCTCCAAAGACATTAGATCAATTTATATGGTAGTCCGTCAAGTCCTGGACTGGTTTGGTCCTTTGATAACTTTTCATATGAAGTTTTGAAATCAACGAGTACGTTAAACGACGTTTACGTCGTATTAATTATTATCTCATATTCTTTTTCATTATATTCTTGTTGATGTTTACTAATTTACTAATAATTGGAAAGTTTTAATCAAATTTTTAAATATTACTTAACAGTATATCAAGACCTAATTCATATTCAATTTGTTTACAATTTAATTGATTGATTAAGTTTTTGAATATATTTTACTCTGTTTTTGATCTTTATTGTAGTTAGATGACACTAAAAATACTAATTAACCACATAATTCTATACTTTTCTATGAAGTTATAAAACTTTTCCCGATCCCGCTCCTAAATCGGTATAAGCAAAAGCCCCACGAAAGCCTTTAAGGATACGCGTTAAAAGGGCACTAAAATTAGTAAACACAAAATAAAAGCATTTACAAAGGTGTCAAATAATAACCAATATTGTGGGAGTACATGAAGTTTAAATCTTGTGGGTGTGTGATGATTGATGAGCAATGGGACCTGATTTACTAGTGAAGTGACCAATGGACCACCATGGCTTCGTTTAACTGTGTCATACTAATGAGTAATAGTAGTAGTAATAGTAGTGTTATCTGTTTCAAGATAAGACGTGATCTGAGTCATTGGTGATTATTCTGTAATTTAGTATACGTAATTATCTAATTCTTGATCAAAGTCACATGAATTGGTCAATTTATCATTAATTTAGTGAAAATTTGTTGATATGAGCAATAGATAAGAAAAATTTAGGGTGACTCTTTTGCTGGGAGGAAATGGTAAACGTGAATACTACAAACAAAATACTACAAACAACGCAACTATGAGTACAAGAACTACAAGAGTACAAGTATAACCACAGTAGTACTCATCATAATATCATAATAACGTAATTAATTCCTCATTTAACCACTATCAACCATTGTCTTTGGTAACCACAACTGTGTAATTTGTCATTTTGTATTAAAAATCACTTTTCGATTGTGTGAAAAAACTAAAAAATTAAAAATTTTCAGTGGTGTTTTTGTGTTGCGCTGACCATCAAAATTGCTCATATCAGTGCATTGTTACTCATTTGACATTTGACAGATTTTACACAAGTTTAGTGGTTATGGATATATAAAGAAGGGTGGTTCCCGTTATATTAGTTTAGTTATACATCAACAATATCATCATCAATAGTTTAAACTACACAACAGTTATACAACAGTTATACAATACACATCACATCACAATGTCTGACTTATTTGAATTGGAATTAGAATACCAACAAACTCCACAAGAAGAATTAGAATTATATTCTTGTTCATTAGATTCATCATCAAGTTCTATATTTGAATTAGAAGAAGTATCAACTCCTTTATTATATGAATCAAAAATACCATCAAGACAAAACTCTTTAATACCTGAAGATTCAATTGATCAATTTCAATTAGATATTTCATCATCAAATTATATCCCAAAAACTATTCCTGAATTACAACAACAAGATTCAAAATCAACAATCCCAAAAACAATAATATCATCATTAGAATCTCAAGAATCAAATGATTTATCTGATATAATTAAAAAAGGTTCCATTTCTATACAAAACAATTATAAAAGATGGTTATCAACTCATCATTGAACAACAACTACAACTACAATACAAATGTATATTATGAAGGTTATGAATTTGATGATTTAAAGATGCTATGGTTTTTTTTTATGGGGAAATGGTTTAATTATAGGGAATACAAAAAACAAAAAAAAGAAGAGCTAGGAATGCTCAATTATTTATAGATTGATACAACAAATGGGATTATGAAAAGGCAAAAAAAAAGTAAAATACAACATATAATGAATATATTTTTATATATAATAACTTAATGAACAGTTAATTTAATTAATGAATTGTGATTATTGTAGTTTTGTTGTAAAACTTTTGAACTTGTTCTTGGTGAATGATCAAATGGGACTGGGACTCCGTTGATCAGTTAGTTTATTTTCGGTGTTATCAATGATCAAAAAGTGGTTCCACAGTACAAGATAACAAAATTTGCTTATCAAACAAGAAAAAATGAATCATGATTCATAAAGTTTGAGGTTCCTTTTTCTAGATCTACAAAATTGATTTGACAGGAGTGGGGGAAGGGAATTAGTAATTACATAGTACTCATTATTGTTATCATGGCTATCAATGTCTTGTTCTAGTATGATGTAATTGTTTAGTAGATCTTGCGCTTTAAAGATATGATAGGAGATAAATCATAATACCAATGATAACTGTTCATTAGAACAAAGATAGTATAACTTTATTAACCAGCTGTCAAATAACAATCAAGATCTCAAGATAATATTAAACTGTTGTACTATGTGTTACGTCAAGATTTCAATGCAAAAAGTGTTAAAAAATGGTGCATATATCATAATCAAAATACTAAAGACTTTTCAATCTTTAAGATATATAAGATTTGTATATAGATTTAAGATCATTCCAATAATATATGGATTTTCATATATGTATCATCAATGATCTTTGTTTAGTATATATGTTCAACTGTTAATTACTTACCAGCTTTAAAATACTAATTTGTCATAGTAAAAAGTGAAATGAAGAGCTCAAAATGAAATACCAATGACCCCTGCACTGACAAATTAAGACAGATATATTATACACACCTGTAACATGGTTTATCATCTATAATTTGTTCTTAGTTAAACAATATATCAATGAAAAAACACGTAGTAATGTATTAAATTCCGAAACATCAATGGGTATATTCTAACGAAACCAGCGACAGTATAATATAGGAGAGGGAAGATGTGAAAATAAGGATTCTAGATATATTGATAAAAAGCTTCAAAATGATTTATAAAATTAACTTCAAAAAGGAAAAATTATGTCTTTTATATAATCGAATGGATTTGAATAGATCGATGTTCAGCTTTTGATCCTCTATTTTTGGCCAGTCCGCAAATTTTCAGACTACATAATAACTTACATAAGCCCCATAACTTTAATCGCGGCACCAAATGAGTTTAAGTATTAGCTTTAATGGTTTCTAAAGAAATACAAGTGTATTATTCCTTCGGAAAAGTCTAATAATGGTCTTCTTTCCTATAGAATACGAACAAATTTTTTGGTGAGGACTACGTCCACTTGGTCCTGCGGACCAAGGTGCTAAATTCTGTGAAATATAAGGGACCAGCACATTTCTAGAGTTGAAACATCAGTGATCAAGGTCAAATGAGGGAACCACAGGAGACTCTTTTTTTTCTATACAGAATCCAATTTATTGAGGATGTATCTTTTAGTTTACATCTTTATAATACATGATTACTTTTTATATTCATAACGTTATAATATAGATGTCAATTCCAATTTAAGCTGTACCGCGTATTATTATATACGAAAAAGAAAAGTTAAATTTCGTTATGAATTAATTTCTACCAGGTGATCAAAAAGATCAAATTCAGATCAGTATTCTAGTGAGACATACATCTGGATTTTAAACAGTATATACAGAGAAACGTGGTAAACCGTTGGGGCCTGGGGCCTGGGCCCTGTACCCCCGTATAAATCATCGTTCAGGTGTAAAACCAGGGTTCAGATGATGTACTAACTTATGGCAACATGAGATTTAAATAATATGATAATATATTAAAAGTTATGTATAAGTGTTTTAATAAAGTTAAATATAGAAAACAAAACATGATCTACATTGATGAAGGTACAAGACTACAATTTTGTATCGAAAAATAGTGAACCATATATTTTTATCAGAATACTAAAGACTTTTCAATCTTTAAGTTATTAAGATCTCATATATGTATAATATAATAGTGACATAATGATTATTCAAACTATAATATCATGTGTAAATCATGTAGCTCTGAAATGTAATAATAGATATTGAAAAATCAATAACTAAGAATGATCATGACTTATCATCTATGATGGAGTTCCTTAATAAATACCTTTTCTTTTGATCATGAACTATGATCAACACTCATCCTACTACTAGTGTTATTATTAATTAATATATTTATCCTGATATTAATGTTGAGAAAATTAAACAGCTTCACGATGCGCAATTCCAACAAGAACATTTATGGAATAAACTAATTAAACATAAAAGTAAAAGTATAAAAGGAAAAGGAAAAGGAAAAAGAGAAAACTTATTATTTAAATATTAAATCTAAATAATAAGTTTATGCAAGGTTAGAATCATTATCATAGCATCATACCACCTTCTAGAATCTATATCAATGAGGCTCTGGAATTTCTTATATTATATTATACTTTCAAAATATATTTTTTGAACCGCGGCAGCTTGTCCATGTCTGATTGAAATTATCAAGTTAATTCTTTGAAAAATGAAGTTGATTTATGTATGAACTACCTCAAATATCCAAAACTTGAAAAAATATGTGATATATATTGATATCAAAACACTAAAAATCATCAACTTAATGAAACTTTTAAGATATTATGATTCCTTATATATAGATGTATATGGCAATGATTTTGATCATTAATTCCAATATTTCACACTTTGATTCTTCAATGACTGTTAAATCATGAATCAAATTAATCAAATTTTCCATTGTACTAGATAACTTTGAACATAGTGTATCAGATCAAGTTTACTATGTCTAACTGTGAAAACATGCAAAAGAACCACATTTAAAACCCATATTGTTGAATAAAAGAAAAAGCAGTTCTTAGAGCGTCAAAAAAATTGCTGGAACAAAGAAAATAATAAACAAAGGGTTAGAAACATTCAATAGCAGATGATATTGAAGTGTGAGCTGATTATAATACTTTGATTTGTTTGATGTTTTTTTTTTAAAAAAAATAATCTGGAGGGAAATTCTAAACATTAGCCACAACCCGCGAATTTTAGATCTTTCAGATCAGAAATTCTACGATATTCAAATTGTAATAACTCATGTAAAACAAATGATACTGAATTATGAATAGCATAGTTAAAGTCCTCATCATTTAAAAATAAAGAATGATGTATTATAACAAGTTAAAATCAGCAGGATCCGCCGCAATTTGAATTTTCCTCTTTTCACTATCACAACGCAGTACTCCAGCCACTTTTTCCGCTAAAAAGTTGGCTCCACTAGCTCAGTCGGTAGAGCGTCAGTCTCATAATCTGAAGGTCGACAGTTCGAACCTGCCGTGGAGCACTTTTCTTTCTTTTTTGCCTCTAATCCGGATTTTTTGGCTGTTTCAAGCTTAATCTGTAGCGTAAGTGTATTCTTTTTTATTTATTTTATTGTATTTGATTGAGAAAAGCAACATTTAATTTCATTTTCACTAGTTTTAGCTTAGTTTTAATGTTTTGTTGTGATTTGGTGTGAATGAATAATATCGCGATGAGATGGATTTTTTTTGAAGGCCGACCGATAATTTCCAACTGATAACAATTTATTTTATTGTCCGCTTGATAATTATTGATTATAACTTAGTATTAAGATTTTGTATTTGAAGATTGGTTATTAGGTATTTAATCTTCAAGTGGATTATCCATTTTATCTTTGAGGCTTGTTACAAGACATTGATCATTACCATTCAAGAGTTTATTACAGATTCAATCAATAATGTCAGAATCTGAACAACATTCAGAATTTCCAGAGATCTTACCAAATGGTTCATTGATCTTAGCATGGCAAGTTAAAAGTGAGTTTTATTTTATATCATCAATTGAACACAACTAACTATTATTTCCCCCAAGATCGTCATGTTTTAGTTGTTGGAGGTGGTGAAGTTGCAGCAAGTAGAATTTATCATTTATTAAATGCAAATGCTAAAATCACAGTTATTTCACCAACAATGAATCCAGAAATTGAATATCGTGAATCAAAAGGTTTATTATATTCTGTTCAAAGAAGACAATTTGTTGATTCTGATCTTTCATTATATGAAAAACCAACACCAAAATTAGAAAAATTTGATGAAGAAGAATATAAAAACATAGATCAATATTTAAAAGATTCAAGATTTGAATTAGTACTAGTGGCAATTGATGATCCAATAGAGAGTAAAAAAATATATTATAAATGTAAATTAAAAGGATTAAATGTAAACATTGCAGATGTTCCACCATTATGTGATTTTTATTTTGGTGCAATTTTCAGAAAAGGTGATTTACAAGTAATGGTTAGTACAAATGGTAGAGGACCAAGAATGGCAAGATTGATTAAAGATAAGATTGGTAATTTATTTAGTGATTATGAAATTGATAAGACTATTGGAAACATTGGTGAATTAAGAAAATTATTAAGAATTAAGAATTCGGGAACTGATAATCAATCTATACAAGATAGAATGGAATGGATGACTAAAACAACTGATTTATATACTTTTAAACAATGGAGTGATGTGGATATACATAAAGTTATAGAATATTATCCAAATTTACCACCAAAATATGAAGATTTGAAATAAGATGATTAACTTTGGTAAAATACATCTTTGAAATCGTAGAATTTTATGCATAAGGACTATATAATAAGTGATAGTCACAATTTTAAGTTGTAAACACCATTAGAAAATATACCCTTGTGTCTTTAATATCAATACTCAATAACAAAGAACTCTCAAGAATTTAAATCAGATATACTTAAAGCCGTGTATTCCCGAAACCATATAAGCTGGCGCTTATTTTGATTAAACAGAACAAGATCAGTCAATTGCGAAATAAATCAATAATCAATTTAACAGCTACATCTTAGAAACAATCAAAATAATAAACTTGTAATGAACAATACATATATGATAAAACATGAGAATAACATAAAAACATAAAAAACAGAAAAAGTATCTTTCAAATATATTTTCAAATAAAAAAAAGATGAATAAAACATAAAAAAATAAAGAAATTCTTATAATAACAATGAATAAACTTTTTAAAAAATTTTATAATCAAGAAAGGAAAAAACACACATAATGATATATAACCCCAAGGAGTTTTGTATGATCAAAATAGAGTAGAGTAAAAATAGAGTAAAATAAAACACTTTGATAAAACAAACAAACAAATAAACAAATTTTAAATGATATTTCTTTTTATGATGATGAGGTATAATAAAATCATAAACAATCCATGGTGTATTGGTTGATGAATTGTCTTTACATCTGTTTTGTATAAATTCCAAAGATAAAATTGGATTCTTTATTCTTAATTTAATGAATCTAATTTCCCAGCAACAGCAGCTCTATACATTTCATGTAATTTAGAACCATCATTTGATAAATTTTCACCATTTGAATTTGATGCATCTCTATCTTGATCATTTTCCTTTTCTGAATTATTTCCATTAGTTTGAGAATCATCTTGTTGAGGAGTTTGATTACGTTCATTTGAATCTTGACCAATTTCAGATCCATAAGATTGTTGATGTTGATGATGTGGATGTGATAAACCTTGATTATATTGATTTGAAGGATCTTGAATATAACCTGAATCAACTACATAACCACCTTGTTGACCATATTGTTCAAATCCTTTACCAGTTGGTAAATAATACAAATTATTAACTGGAGCCATTAAAGGTTGTTGTTGATACCCATTTGATGGTAAACCTTGAGTTTGTTGAGGTGGTGCAACACCAACACCTGGTGGTGGAGGACCAGTTAAACCTGGTGCAGGTAATCCAGGAGCAGGACCAGGAGGTGGGATACCATTATTTGAAGACATTGCTAATTGAACTCTTTGTTGTTGATTTTGAGCTCTACCCCAACTTAAACGAACTCTTGAACCACCAATTTGGAAACCTTGCATTCCAGCAATTGCAGCTTCTGCATCTTCACGTTTATCAAATCTAATAAATCCACAACCTTTACCTGGTGGGATCTTGACATGAGTAATATTACCAAATGGTTGGAATAAAGCGGCTAAAGTTTGTTCAGGAATTCCTGGAGCTAAACCACCAATGAAAACAGTAGTATTAGTTGGATCAGTATATGGAACAGATTGTGGAGTTTGTTGAGCTTGATCAGGATGGAAAAATTGTAAAGGAGGTGGAACTTGTTGATATTGATACATTAATAAATCAGATTGTCCTAAAGAACCTTGTTGTTGATGATTTGAACCTGCAGAATTTGGAACTTGAGGAACTGGAGCTAATTGTTGATCAGGAAATTGACCATTTGGATTTGCAGTAGTTGGTGGGAAACCTCCTGGACCATTTGGTGGTGGTGGTGGTAATTGATTATGATGATTTGGATGAGTATGTTGAGGAGGTGGAGGAATAAATTGACCACCATTTGGACCTAAGTTTAATCCATTTAATCCAGCAATTAATGAATTTGTTTGATTTGTTTGATTTGATTGATTTCTTGGGGTTGCTAATGCAACTCTTAATGGTCTACCAGCACACCAAACACCTTGCATTTCAGTTAAAGCACGTCTTCTTTCTTCTTCATCACTAAAACGAACAAAACCAAAACATCTTGAAGTTCCAGTGATTGGATCAGTCATAACACGAACAGTTTTAACCGATTTGAAATGAGTTTGAAATAAAGCTAATAAATGAGCTTCAGTTGTTGATGGAGATAAATCACCAACGAAAAGTGAAAATTCAGGAGATTGAGGAATTGGTGAAGATAAAGTAGCACCAGAAGCCCAATTTAATCTAAATAAACGATTTGTATTTGGGATTTGAGAACCATTTAAACTTAAAGCAGATTTAGCATCATCATAAGTTTCAAATTCAATAAAACAATAACCAGCATGACCAGTATTTAAAGTAGCAGCAGGAGTACCTTTTTTAGCTTTAATTAATTTAACTAAAACTCTTTTACCTAAAGTTGACCATAAATGAACAATGGCATCTTCATCAGACCAAGGATCTAAATCACCCATCCATAAAGTTTTTGGAGGTGAAGAAGAAGTTTGTGAAGTTGCAGTTGGAGGATTTGGGATTGGTAAAGGTTGTAAGAAATCTGGTTGTTGAGGTTGTTGTGGAGCTTGTTGAGATTGTTGATTCAAATCAGCACCAGAGTTATAACCATCATCTTGTTGTTGTTGTTGTTGACCTTGACCTTGTTGTTGTTGTTCAGATTGAACATTTTGTTCATCAAAATTTGAGTTAAAATTTGACATTTTAAGAATTGAAATTTATAAATCAAAAACTAATATGAAAACAAAATTGTGAAAGAGATGTATAAGTGCAATAAAATAAAGAAAATTCAAAAGAAAAAGCACAAATTTAAATCAAAAATCAAATAAAGATATAATAGTATGAGTTCTTTGTTATTTTCTTCTTGATGTAATTGAAATCTCGTTCTTTAGTAAAAACAAATCTTTATGAAATATAAAACAAAAAATATGGACAAACAAAATTTCGTTAAATTCGTTAAAAAATATGGGCAAAAAAACAAACAATTGTTAGTTAATTTATATGATCATATAATTCTTGTTCTGATTGTATAATTGAAATCAAATATAAAATTCAGGTACCAAATGCAATCTTGTTTAATTGTTAATATAAAATTGCCGTTAATGAAATCTGAAAAGACAAGGCTATGATATATAAGTAGATCTAATGGAGCAGTGTATTGATTGATATTTGTTGTAATATAGTATGGAATTGAACTATAACAAAGCAATTAAATTGAACTTTTGTAATATTAATTATGAAGAGAAGTTTCAAATTTCAAAACTTTTCTTTCAAGTTTCAAACTTGTTCAAAATTGCAGAGTGGAAAAAACAAAGTAGCAAAGAAAAAAAAATTAACTATACATGAAAATTAAATAAGCAGGGATTTGTAATATTATACAGGGGATTTACTTTAAAAGGGTAAAAAGGGGGTAAAATAGTATAGTAGGGTTTAAATAGAGGGTATAATTGAAATATTTGAGTGATATTTACCTATATAAAGTTGTTTGTAGGTGTTTCCAGTGTGTATAGTTTATTTTGTTGAGTTTGATGGTTGACGTGTTCAGGCTCATCGCAGGCTCGAAAGTCTATTTTTAATCTCGGTTGAAGATTTGGAAGCGGTGAAGTTTGAGTTGATGGGCAGGGACAGCTAGCTGGGAGGAACTGGACTGGGGGTGGGTAGGTACTTAGGCAGAGACATGGTAGACAATATATTATTAGTACACCATAGATCTTGTTTATAGGCTCAATTGTTTATGCTTTTATGGATAATGGTTCTCTTTCGGGTCGACTCGCTGAAACTAATTAAGGCTCAGTGCTTATTGAATGAGTGGTGACTGATGCGCGGTGGCTTTGTGAAGAGTGAGTAAAGGGTGAAGATTGATATCAAGATGTTGATGATGATGATGATGTATATATGATTGTTATTGTATTGTATTGTATTGTATTCTATTCTATTATACAATCCATTATCTACACACAGTTTATGCCTATACTAACGCATCAATTGACACAACCATAAGCATATAAGGCAGCTTGTCAAGCTATACAGTACAACACCAGAGATCAATTGAGATCATTGGACTAACATTAGATTAAAAACAATTATAAAACAATTTATAAAATAATACACGAATCATAATAAACTCCCAGATTACTTCTTGATTATCTCCTTTATTCAACCCCTTATTTATACGATACTTTAACAATTCTCATCAATTCATGTATGAAAAAGTATAGAAACTCAACAATTTAACAAAAAGAACACTTACCATTTTAAGATGAATTGGCGTAAAAATGTAAAAATACAGCGAAAATTTCATTAGCAATTACTGAAACCAGTAATATTACGTAAGAAAAACTGCAAAAAAAGATATTCCGATGCGGGGAGTCGAACCCCGGTTTGCCCGGTGAAAGCGGACCGTGCTAGCCGTTACACTACATCGGATTAATTGTTGATTTTCTAGGGGCTTGAAACTCCGGGTTATACTTTTGAAAGTCACGTGAATCTGGTTGGGGCAGCACATAGATTATTCAATAATTAAATTATATTGAATTTAAATAGATGATACAGTCTTTTTATTGGATTGGTATCATATTTAAAGCGTAAATTATTTATATATACTAGTTTCAAGTCAAATTTCAAGCGGCGTGTCCGGATGAAACTGAAATATATTTATCATTTTAAATCATATATAAATTTTTAATGATTGACATTTTAGAAATTAATATTGTAAATTTCAAAATTTAAAAGTACTTCAAATATGTTTTTATTGATATCATATGATTATTTAGAGCAAATTTAGTATAATGAGCTAAAATTTGACCTGTTGTCTCATACAAAAATCTTTTGAAATTCATAAAAATAGTTTCTTATATTCGGAAATAAGCGGCCTCGATGATTTTACTATATATAAGAAATTTTAATTATAGTTAAAACACCATATTAATATGCCTCAATAAGTCATGAGCTGGTATATAATAATGAACTTTTGAATATATTCTAGAATTAAAAGTAAAGTTTATGAAGAATGGAAGCTAGATCAAATTAATTAATTATCATTTAATTAGTTGTAAAAATTGGGCTTTAAGATTTATTAATATCATTCAACAATGTTTCATCTAATAAATCCCAATTAATTACAAGTACTGCATGGTTTGAATATTTTTAGACGTACTATATTAATTGAATCCCATAGTTGAAAGTTTTGGTTTTATTAATGTAATGAAGAGATCGAAACTTCCATATCTTGTGTTTACCTTGATTTTGTTTAGTATAAGTGTATATCAATAAGGATATGACGACAATCAATAAATATGCTAAGATATCAAAGATTTAAATAAGAAGAGAAAATTTTACGATATGGTTAAATAGGACCTATAGTGAGAAGACAACTTATTATTTAATCGTGAGCTGATTGGGATAAATTCATGATCCATGATCTATCATGCGTTAGTAAGATATATGTGATTAACGACGTGATAATGAATATAATTAGCAATGAATAATAATGTTTTTTACCAGAGTTATGTACGAGAAGGAATGATTAATAGTGAGTTATACCAAAAGTTAAAGTTATGAAGTTAAAGTTATGATCTCAAGAGGTTTTACTATTGAGCCACAAGAAGGATGGATTGCTGGGAGAAGTATCACAGTATATATACCAGACATGAATGAGTAAAAAGAGAGAATATAAAAAGAGTCGTAGTATTGATACTCTATTAAATAACTCAACTACTCATGGGACATAGACATAGATAGACCCTTAATATTTGAATTGAATAGGGCTTTTTACCAATTCAATCATTAGTCTTGTCTATCTCTTTTACTAATTGATACTCATACCACCATCTTCAAACCAATATATTCCAAAACCAACTAGAGTCAATTCAAAAAACTGAGATAAATGAGATAAATGAGATATGAGTAAAATAAATTTGAGAGAAATGATATGAGTTTAAAGTATCTAAAGTTCTCAAAACCCGATTCTCATGACAGCCGAAAATCAGCGCAATAAATTCGAGATAAACGAAATTTAGATAAATAAAGGTGCCATAGTTATCACAAGATCTTATAACACAACAATCAAACTCATAAAAGACCTATAATATACATATAAGGAATAATGGGGAATACAACATCTAGTCCAAAGATAACGGCTCAGGATAAAGCTATATTACAAGTCAAATTACAAAAAGATAAATTATTAAAATATCAAAAAAAATCAACATTATTGATTAAGAATGAAACTAATCAAATTAAAGCATGTTTATCTAAAGGTGATAAAACTTCAGCAAAGATAATATTGAAAAGAACCAAATATCAGGAAAATTTATTAGAAAATGTATCAAATCAAATATTAAATTTAGAAAATATGATTCAAAATATTGAATTTAAATTAATTGAACAAGATTTTTTAAAAGGTTTACAGAATGGTAATGAAATTTTAAAAAAACTGAATAATGAAATGAAATTAGACCAAGTTGAGACATTGATGGATGATGTTAATGAAAATATTCAGATTCAAGAAGAGATTGATCAAGTTTTATCAAATTCTATAGTTGGTAAAGATTATGAAGATGAGATTGATGAAGAGTTGGCAATGTTGGAGAAGGAGGAATTTATGAAACAAGGTAAGCAAAGTGAACAAAGTGGACAACAGAGTAAAGATAATAATGAATTGATTGAGAAATTACCTAGTGTTGATAAATTACAAGATATTAAACAAGATGAAGAGGAAGAGAAAGATGAAGAACCTGTTAAAGTTAAACAGAAAAAAACTGCACTTTTAGCATGAATATATATGAATCTTTACAATCTGAATTTTAATGTTTCAATTTCATTTCGTTCTATATACATTTTTTGTTTTATATACAATTTCCTTTTTTCATTAATTTGTGTGTGTTTTATATACATAATAATTCATAAATATTCATATTTTAACTTATCTCAATCCAACCATTCCAAAAAATCAGGAGTAAAATAACTAATAATTAATCTTGCACCAGCTCTTAAAAATCCATTATTTGCTTCAAATGCAATAGTTTTCAAATCAACAATACCCTTTTCAGCAGCAGCATGTAACATTGCATATTCACCACTAACATGATAAGCACAAATTGGATAATCTTTACCAATTTCAGCAGCTTGAGCCATAACATCCAAATAAAAAGTTGAAGGTTTACAAATAATACCATCAGTACCTTCTTCAATATCTCTTCTCAAGGCTCTTCTTGCTAAACCGGACCCACCAGTTGGTAATTGATAACGTCTTCTATCACCTTGACCTGGAGAAGAACATGCAGCATCTCTAAAAGGACCATATAAATTCCCACTAAATTTTGCACTATATGACATAACAAATGTCTTGTGAGCTAAATTTGCCTCGATTAAACCTAATTTAATTTCACGAATTCTACCATCAATCATATCAGATGGAGCAACACAATCAACACCAGCTTTTGCATAGTTAACTGCAACTGCTGCAATTCTTTTAACAGATTCAACTCTATTTATAGTACCATCTTCAAATAAGACACCACAATGACCATGTGAAGTATATTCACAAAGACAAACATCAGCCATGATATATAAATCAGGGAAAGCTGCTTTTAAAGCTTTTGTAGCTTGAATCACTGGTCCTTCAGGGTCATCAGCACTTGTACCTTCAGGATCTTTGGAACCATTTTTTAATGGGACACCAAATAATATAACAGATCTAAGACCTTTCTTGATTAATTCACCAACATATGGAACAACTTTGTTTACACCCCATCTTTTTTGACCTGGTAAAGTTTCAATTAAGAATTCTTCATCAGGAGAATCTGATATAAATAATGGATAAATAAACATATTCTTGGTTAATTGACGTTCATTTTGCCACTCTCTTGTTAATGGATGGGCATAACCACCAGCTAAGATACTAGAGATTTCAGTTCCTCTGCCTGTGAGATATTCAGCTTGATGGACCATTCTAGATTGTTATTTGTTTCTGGTTTGGTTTGGTTTCTATTCGGAGTATGGTTTCTTTGGGATGTTTTTCAGTTTTTATATCAAATTTTCATTTCCACAGTAAGCAAAGAAACGAGATCAGTTCAAAATTGGTGAAGAACAGCGATTATCAGAAGAAATATTGTATAGGAAACAAGAATATGTATTGATTTATCACTAGGACTCATAATAGTAATCTAAGCAAATATCATCCATTTTAAACCGTGAAATCACCATTTTTGTAGTGGTTTTTCACCATCATCACCATATGTTTGATACTCACCACAGATTTAATTTATACGAAAACTAATCAAAACCACTTTAAACCATTTTGAATAACAACTTCACATAAAACCACACACACAATGTCACACAACTGCGAAGAAGAACATCATCACGGAGGCCATGGAGGCCATGGACACGGTCATGATGATCATTCACACGTTGCTCCTATTCCTACAAATGAATCACAATCTCTAAGACAATATATCGATACTTCAAAAATCACAGGTTTAAACTTATCAAACCCAAATAATGAACTTCATCAAGTTTTCAAAGATCAAGAACAAAAATATGATGTTTCCAAATATATTGAATCAGATGCAGATGCTCAACTTATTTTAAACATCCCATTTACTGGATATGTCAAAATTTTTTCAATAATTTTAAGAACAAGTGGTGATTCATCAAATTGTCCTAAACAGATCAAGATATTCAAAAATAAAGATAATTTAGATTTTGATAATGCTAATGACTCAAAACCAACATACAAAATAGAACAACCATTAATAGGACATCATGATAATGACACTAATACCTCAAATAATGATGAATTTATTGAACATTATTTACCAAGAAATTCATTCCAATCAACAACACAACTTTCTTTATTTATTGAAAATAATTGGGATGATGACGAGGACGAATTAACTAAAGTTTATTATATCGAGATCAGAGGTCAATTTACTTCTCCATTGTCTAAAGATCCTATAATTACATTATATGAATCTGCTGCAAATCCAGCAGATCATAAAAATTTATTAGCTAATGAAGTTGGAAATCATGCTTCATTTCAATAATAATTACTATACAAAAAATGAATGAATAATTGCTCTTATGTGTTTAGCTCTTATGAATAATGAATATCCTTATTTCTTCCAATAATCAAAAGTCCCAATTTTGGTAGAAACAATCTTTATCAATTCCAATGTTTTTTCTTCTTGTAATTTCCTACCCAAAATTTGTAATCCAACAACACAACCATCAATTTTTTCAACATCATAACCTTGATGAACAGCTTTCTCCATATCATTCCTCAATTCAATACCTTCAACCCCCTGGCGATCCAATTCTTGATCAACTTCCAATACAGGGAAAGTACCAGCTGGTGTATCCAAAATATTAGCTAATGGAGAATAACCAAAATCAATAAATCCATCAAATGGTGCCCCAGCAATTGGACTAACTGGTGATATTAATCCATCAAGACCTAATTTTTCCCATTCTTCCCAAAATTGATTACAATTTTGATAACGTTCATATTGTAAGTCCATTAATTTTGAACTTGGTAAATCTTCAAATGTCTTGAGGAAATCTGGAGTAGGTTCTTTTCCTGATTCAAGGGCTTGTAGTAAGGGTTTACAACCATTTGACATCATGAATGATGAGAATTTTGCTATGGATTGGATTAGGTCTGCCTTCTGCCATTCTATAACTTCATAACCTTGATTTATTAATGATTCACGAACTTTTTCAAGGGCTCTTTTAACAGGTTTTGAAGGTTTAATAACACCATCATCTAATAATAATCCAAACCTCAACTTTTGAGAAGAAAGATCAATAGGTGTCCATGGGATTGGAACAACTCTTGAATTTCTTAACCAACTTTTAGAATCAACAATAGTCTTGATATATAATTCTAATCCATGGAAATTTGTACTTAGGACACCATTTGTCGCCAGGATAGCTTCCAACCCTTCAACAATTGAAGTAGTATCATGAGGAGTTCTTTGACTTGATGGTTTAAACCCAAATAAATTTTGTAAAGAAGCTGGTTGTCTAACAGAACCACCCATATCTGAACCAATACCTAATGGGGACCCTCTAAGTGCAACAAGAGAAGCTTCACCACCTGAAGAACCACCACTTATTAAATTTGTATTAAAGGGGGAGACTGTTTTACCAAAGATTGAATTTGCGGTGATGTTGTTGAACACACCAGTTGGGATATTTGTCTTGACGTAGAATATAGCACCTGCTTGTCTTAATATTGCAACATTTGGTGAATCTTTTGATAATTTATCATGATCAATATAATCAACTAAACCAATTGTTGAAAATTGACCTATGATATTGAATTCATCCTTGAGGGAGATTGGTAATCCGTGTAATGGACCTTTCAGTTCACCAGTAGTTTTGTAATAATCATCTAACTCCTGGGCTTGTTTAAACGCTTCAGTGAAGAAGACTTCAGTTAAACAATTTGTTAATTGATGAGCTATAGTGGCTCTATGAGCAAATGCCTTAGTGATTGTTAATGAAGTGTATTTATGATCCTTTATGGCATCTAATAATTGCAAAGCTGAAGACCCAGTGATTTCTAATTCTTCAGGGGTCAAATAATTGGAATTTTCAATGAATTTGATAACATTTGTTGTTTTTGGTAATTCAGATTCTGGTATAAGCCATTCCTTAGGGAAACTTGAGTCTCTGATGGTCAATTTGTTCTGAACTTTTGTTTGTAGTGACATGATTGTGATTGATCTTATTACTTATTAGTTCTTTGTCTCTTTAAAGGTCCAATTGTTTGTATTTATATCCCTTAATTTTTGGTTTGGTTATATTCGGGTATGTATTTACAGTATAAAAGATTGATAATCGAAAAACTTATCAGATTTCAATTTTAATTTCCTCTTTTCTTAGTACAAATTTGATAACTTAATTTGATAACTTTACTGTTCATATGATATTCATAACCATCTAAAGCATTATAGTCTTTAATGGACTGGTTATACATTCATCTCTTCATTTTAATGTACTCTTAATTAAAGATCCGATTCAATCTTTTTCACCAGGGTAAAGGCTAAACCAGAACATTATATGGAAAAACATAACAAAATTGTACATATTTCTCAACAATTATCAGTATTTCCAACTTCAGCTGTATAATTAAACAAGAAGTTATTCTATTTTTTTACAATTTGTAGTTCAAAACGGACATTTATATATATTGAAAAACCACACTAAGATCTACATACATAAATTCAATTATACCCACATGGTTATTCACTCAAATCTCAGATCTACAACACAATCATATCAAATAAAATCAAATTAAACTATACAATTGGTTTTTGTTATACTATATAAAGAACTATAAGCACCTGTTTTAAACAGATAATGGGAATTCACCAGCCCATTCATAAATTTCATTCTTAGTTTTAGTTAATTCATCAGAACCTTGAGCAATCTTAGCTTTAAAATCTTTTAATCTATTAGCTTCTTTTGGTAATTCACTTTGAATTTTTTTAGCATATTGAACAGACCAATCAATATAATGTGCAATTTTTTTAAAATCTTCTTCACCAAGACCTCTTGTAGACATTGCTGGTGCACCAATTCTAATACCACCTGGCACAAGAGCGGATTTATCACCTGGGATTGAGTTTTTGTTTAAGGCAATGTTTATGTTTTCACAAACGGTTTCAATTCTTGCACCATCGATACCTTTATCTTTTAATGAAACTAAAACCATATGAGAATCAGTACCATTTGAAACTAATTTATAAGATAATTTTAAGAATTCTTCTTCTAAAGCTTTAGCATTTTTTAAAACTTGTTCTTGATATTGTTTAAATTCTGGAGTTGAAGCTTGTTTTAATGCTGTTGCTAACGCGGTAATAGTATGATTATGTGGACCACCTTGATGACCTGGGAAAACTGAGAAATTAATTGGATTTTCTAAATCATATTTAATTTCAGCACCAGTTTTAGCGTTAATTGATCTAACACCTCTTCTAAAGAAAATCATGGCACCTCTTGGACCTCTTAGGGATTTATGTGTAGTTGTAGTGACAATATCAGCATATTCAAATGGAGATGGGATAACACCAGCAGCGATTAAACCTGAAATATGAGCCATATCAACAACTAAATAAGCACCAACTTTATCAGCAATTTCTCTCATTCTTTTATAATCAATTAATCTACAATAAGCAGAAGTACCAGCAACAAGGACCTTAGGTCTGAATAATAAGGCATTCTTTTCTAAGGTATCATAATCAATAATACCAGTTTCTAAATCAACTCTATAAGGCATAGTTTCAAAATAAGTTGAAACAGCAGAGATTTTTCTAGTATCAGTTTGATAACCATGAGATAAATGACCACCATGAGGTAAATCAAGACCCATTAATCTTTCATGAGGTTTCATAATAGCTTGATAAACTTGTAAATTAGCAGGAGACCCAGAAAGAGTTTGAACATTAACCCCCCATTTATCAGAAGTGATATTAAAAGCTTTTAAAGCTCTTTCTTGACATAAGATTTCAATTCTATCAATATGTTCATTACCACCATAATATCTTGCACCTGGATAACCTTCAGAATATTTATTACACATTGGAGTTCCTAAAGCATCGAAAACAGCAGTTGAAGTGAAATTTTCTGATGCAATTAAGACGATTGAATGTCTTTGACGTTCAATTTCATCTTTAATGATTTGTTCAACTTCTGGATCGGTATCTTTTAAATGACCTTCGACTAATTGTCTGTGAGATTCTGGTAAAGCGTATGGCATGTTGTGTTTGTTGTGTTTGTTCAATTGATTGATGGTTCAATGAGTACAAAAGATTTTATTCAATTGCTGATTTTCAATGGTTTAAATAAAAAAATAATTTTCTATGAGTATTAAATAATGTATAAGCAAAAAAATCAGAGTCAAATAGGCAACGTTCTGAATTCAAACCGGAATTTTAAATTTTGCAGTGAATCATTTTAATTTTAATTTTTCAATTTTCCTGAAACGGTGAATTCGATTTCGATTAAAAAATGATTTTATGAAAACCGACTCTGTTCATGTTATTCGATTGACTTCGATTAGCATGTGAATAACTACAATTAAATACTCATAAATACCATCAATTACTCTTATTTACTTTTATATCCCAATTCTTCCAATGATTCCTTAATAACTTTAAACGCTTTATCAGTATCACCTCTAGAATCATCCAATGCAGAAACACCCATATGACCAATTCTAAAATACTGGTCTTTAATATCTTTATGAATACCACCTGCAAGGACAATACCTTTCTTGTAAATTAATGGTAATAAATCAGAACCTTTTATACCTTCAGGATAATAAACTGCAGTCAAACCATTTGCTGAAACTTCTTCACTTGTAGAGACTAATTTTAATCCAATAGATTCTAAATTCTTCTTGAATTTTGAGGAAGTTTCATGATGTTTAGCAAATCTTTGATCTAATGAACTTTCCAAGATTTCTTCTAATGATGCTTTCAAGGCATTAACTGTTTGAATTGCTGGTGTTGCAAAATATGAAGGTTTACCAGCTTCATAATTTTGAACAATTGGTAACCATTTAACTAAACTTGCGAAGAAAGTTGATTGAGTTGGTCTATTCAATGCTTTAGTGATGGCTCTTTCACTAATGAATGAAATTGATAAACCTGAAGGAACTCCAATTGCCTTTTGTGATGCACTTAAAACATAATCTAACCCCCATTTAGAAAATTCTATATCTTCAACACCAACTGAACAAACACCATCAACTATAATTAAAGAATCTGGTGATTTGGATTTAACAATTGAAGAAATTTTACCAACATCAGAAACAACAGCAGTTGAAGTATCAACATGTGTAATAGTAATTGCCTTATATGATTTTTTTTGTAATTGTGATTCAATTTCTTCAAATGGAACAACTTCACCAGGTTTTGCAGTTAAGATATCAACATTTGCCCCATAAACTTTCAAACATTCTGCAAATGAATCACTGAAAAATCCAGTAGACAAAACCAAAACATCTTCACCTGGATAAATCAAATTACTAGCAGTGATATCCCAACCAAGAGTACCAGAACCTGCAATAACTAAACCTTGATCCTTAGGATTACTGGATTTAAATAATTTACGTAAATCAACTAAAACTTTTTGGAAAATTGAAATAAATTCTGGGGAAGTATGTGCAAGTGATTGAATTGCTTGAGCTTGTCTAACACGTTCACTAATGACGATTGGACCTGGGATTAATAATAAGTTTTCTTCACCTGACATTTTGGAATTGTATCTTATGGATTGTAATTGAAGAGGTCTAAATTGTAAAGGTTTCAATTGTTTTAAAGGAAATTTGTTTCTTATAAATGAAATTCTGAGCATTGTGGGTATTAATTGTTATGGGCGCCGGCGAATTCTTTTATCGGTAAAGTGGAGATAAGCCATAAAAAGCCATTTAATTTAAAGGAATTTACAAGGGAATTCACCACTATTTAAATAGTTTTGATGATCATTTCATTTCCATTGTTTATTTATTTGTTTATATAAATGATTATTTTCTCATCTTTTTTTGAATTTTTTCAAATTCTTCATCATCAATTTCATATTCAGATTTCTTGTTTTTACCTTTTGTACTTTTACCTTTTGTACCCTTACTAACCTTTTTATTCCCATATTTTGATTCTAATTTATCAATCAATGAATCAATCCTACCAGAATTTCTTTGTTGAATCAAAGCTTTTAAATCATCTTCAGTATCCAATTTCTTATTCTTTAATATCTCTCTTTTCAATTCCTCAGCTTCACCAGATTCATCTTTAATTGATCTCAACAACTTATTAAACTTTTTATTTCTCTGAGATTTATATTGTTCCCACTTTTTTGTACTTTCAATAACACCATCATCAATCAATAAAGAAACCTTGTTAAATAATCTTTCTTCATCAAATTTATTAATCTCAATATGTGGTATATTTTCAAACAATTGTAAAAAATCACCATTGGTTTCTAACCATGATTCAATAATATCTTCTTCTTCATCACTACTCCCTTGATATGCTTTTTTATCTTTGGCAATTGATTCCTCTGTGATTTCAACTTTACATTGATTAAAAAATTCAAACCAATCAAATCCATCATCAGTAACTTCTTCAAATGAACCTGTTTGATCATATTTTCTTCTTTTTACAGGATCACTTAGTATTAAATTTGCAAATTGAATTTTTTCAAATAAAAGCTTAGCTTCATCTTGTTCCTTTTCAGATTTATTATGTTGTTTATCTGGATGATATTTAAGACATAATTTTTTATAAGATTTTTTGATTTCAGATTCTGTGGATTTTGAAGTGAGGTTTAATGTGGTGTATGGATCCAAGTCTGGGAATGGAATGGCCATTATGATCTATAGTATTATTAGTAATTGATAGTTGTTGTTGTATTCTTGTTGATGTTTGTTATTTGCTTTCTTTACGCGTAAAATTGTCGCGCTCGATGAGATGAAAATATTTATATAGGCATGAATCGAATCATCATATCATATCCAAAAGACAGAAAACTCACATTGATTATTTATAAACACAGTGTTCATTATGGTCTATTATTTCAAATCTATAGGTTCAGATCATTCTTTCGAATCATCACCAAGATTCATATATATGGGTGCCGATAAATTAGAAAATGAAGATTTAATTAAATATGGTCATGAAGAAGATGTTTGGTTTCATGTTGATAACCTAAGTTCTGCACATGTTTACCTAAGGTTAGAACAAGGTGAAAAATGGGATGAGATCCCGGAACCTTTATTATGGGATTGTGCACAATTAACAAAAGCTAATTCTATTGAAGGAAACAAAAGAGATAATATAACTGTTATATATACACCTTGGTCAAATTTAAAAAGGACAAAGGGGATGGCTGATGGTGAAGTTTCATTTAAAAATCATAAAAAAGTTAAAAAAATTCATATTCAAGTGAGAGAGAATTCTATAATAAATAGGTTAAAGAAAACCAGGGAGGAGATTAAAGGTCGTAATCATTTAATCGAGGCAAAGAATAATAGAGATAAAGAATATACACAAAAATTATTAAATTTAAAAAAACAACAAAAATTAAAAGATGAAGAAGAAAAGAAAAAAATTGCTGATGAAAAAAAGAGAAAAGAAACATTGTATGATGATTTATTTGATGATGAAGAGATTAATAAATCAAGTAATCAAAAAAGAATGTATGATCCAGAAGATGATTTTTGGTGATTAACCTTAATACTATTTATATACAGAAATACAATATTTAAATACATGTAAATTGGTTATTTATTATGCTCTTGTTGGGAATAAATATAAACGATTTTAAATTAATTGTAATTTGTATGTCTTCATTGAATATGAGATATGTTTAATATAATAATTTTTTGTCTTTTTTAATGATATAATTGATAAATCTTGATGAATCTATGGCTTCAAATTACCAGCAAAGTTACCAGCTTCTCTTTGAGCATCCCATTTTTCAGTCCAATCAACTGGACATAATGCAGAATAAGTTTTGAAAAAAACTTTACATGGTTCAAATTCTTCACCTTTTGCATTAATACATTTGTGATAATCAACATATGATTGCCAACAATGTTTAGTTTGATTTTGTTGAGGGAATCTAGCGTCGAATCCAACGGTTCTTAATGGTGATTCTTCAGACATTTTGATTGATGTTTTATGGGTTTTAGTTGAAGTGATATAGTAATCAAAGTCCTATATCTTAATATAATATAGTATGTTTTTTTTTCAATTTGACAATTGATTTTGTAAGTTTTTCTCGATTTTTAACTTTCCTGATTGGTTTATGAAAAAATGGGCGGGAAGGTCACGTGGGAAAGGGGTCATGTGATGGGAATTTACTGAATGTTTATTAGGCGAGCCGGCAGAAATGAGGTGGTATTCTTGAAGATAAAATAGGAAGGAGTGAAGATATGAAAAAAAGAGTAGCACTATTGGAAATCAAAGTATTCAGTTGACCATATAACCACCTCTTAATATAAGTTTATGATCAATGTGTCTATTTATCTTGATTTAAATTCAATTTAAAGAGCACTGGTCATGTGACCGTGTGTGGTGTTTACCGATTGTATAAACTTTTAATTTGTTTACGATGGGTATTAAACATTTTATTTTAGTTTAAATTTAGGATAAAGATTAAATATTGGGTAAAACATGTCAAGAAGTGGTGAGTATGGTAAATGGTACCTCAGAGATCCGAGACTAACCAAAGTTATTAGCTTTTGAAGCCCTACAAATGGATAATGATATACCAATATATGAAGTAAATTCATCAGATGAAGATATAATTGATGAAGAACAAGATCAAATACCCAGTACTCCATTAGAAACACCATTCATAAGGTCTTTACAAACAACTCCAATACCAGGGTTCCAACCACCACAACCACAACAACAATCAAAATATCTATGTTCAAATTTTATACCAAATGATGATAATACAATATTTGGTAATGACTATGTAATATTTGGTTTGAAAAATAATCAAAATTTAATTATAAAAGGTCAATTTAAATTACAAATACAAAGAGGTGCTATCAAGATTGATCACTTGGTGTATCATTCATCACCAAAATCATTCAATTTCATAAATTCAAATGCAAATTCTTTACCATTAATATCTGCAACTCAAGTTCTTGATAGATCAAAAGTTTCTGATGAATTAAATGAAGAAAATAAACATTTATTTACATCAGATTATAAATCAGTCATCAAGATAACTAATTTCAAGACTGGATTAGAAAACATTGGTACTATTTGTCCAATTTTAAAAAATTTAATTTGGAATTTTAATAATTTATCAAATGATGATTTGAAAACTTATAATGATTTTGAAATTGCATTCCATGATTATTCATTCTTCCCAATAATAAAACCTGATAATACAATAACAATAACAAATCATAAAAATTGGACTGAAACTTTAGAAAACTTATCAAATTTACATGCAAAAGGTTCAATTTTAAAAATTTTAATCATTGGTAGTAAAAATTCAGGTAAATCAACATTATTAAGATTATTATTACAAAATTTCCTTCAGGTTAATAATGAAACACCAGTTAATTATCTTGATTTAGATCCTGGTCAATGTGAATTTTCAAAACCTGATTCAATATCATTAAATAAATTTGAAATCCCACAAATGGGGAATCATTTATCAATAACATCACCTCAATGTCAATTTAATCATTATATAGGATTTGGGTCCCCTAAGGATCAACCAACCCGTTATAATGCATTAGTTAGGGATTTGATTAATAAATATAATAAAGATGGTGGTATTAAAAATGAAAGTTTGTTAATTAATACACCTGGTTGGATTAAAGGTTATGGAACTACATTAACCAATAGTCTTATTGAACAATTAGAACCAACTCATATTATTTATTTGAATAATGGAAGTGCACCTGATTTAGATGATTTGAAAATTGATGAAACTAAAACTGAATTAATACCATTATTAGGGAATTATATAAATAATTCAAATGTTTCAAGTGTTTCAAAATATTCATCATCACAATTAAGACTTTTCAAAACTTTAGCATATTTACATAAATCCCAGGATTTCAAATTTGATTTCACACCATTACTTTTCAAACCACCTTTACAAATAAGTTATGGTAAATCTGGGATAAAAGGTGTTTCTATCTTAGGGTTGAATGATATACATCCAAATGATTTAAAAGATTGTTTAGAAGGTACTATAGTGGCATTACATACCATTGATTATGAAGTCTTGAATAATGTTTCCAAGACTAATAATGATAACTTGCCTATACTAAATTCTAAAAATTTGTTGAATAATTCTTCATCAGATTCATTATTTTTCAAATCATTAGTATTAATTCATTCAATTAATGAAAAGGAAAAATTGATTAATTTATATATACCAAGTTTTGAAAAAATAGATAAAAAGGATAATGAAGAATTCATATTAATTAGAGGTAGAACAGAAACACCAATTTGGGAACTAGCATCAAATCAAATTCAAAAAGAATTTAAAAAGGAAACAAATTTACCATTTGTTACATTTGATAAAACTTCTATTCATGATAAAGTATGGAAAGTTAGAAAAAATGTTCAAAGAAGAGGTCAACAATAGAATTACATAGATATATAGAATTATTATTATTATGCATTTCTCTCTATACTATAGTACATTTCTATTTTATATTTATTCATCAGTTTTAGCAGCTTCATTATTATCTGAAGCTAATGACCAACCCATTTTTTTATTTAATCGATCATATTTTGCACGATCTCTATCATTAACACTTGGTTTAACACTATTTAAAGCTTTTTCGAAATCTTCTGCAGTAACTAAAATTTCATCATCTTGTTCTTCTTCATCCATCATATCATGATCATCATCATTTAATTGAGGTTTATTATTTAATTTAAAAAATTTCTTCTTTAATGCAATAACACCAGCTTCTCTAATTAATGCACTTAAATCTGCACCTGAAAAATTTCTACATCTTTCATCATGTGCAATTGTTGAAAGATCAATTTTTGGATCTAATGGAGTTTTGTTAATATTTATAACTGTTTTCAAAATATCTAATCTTTCATTAGCATTTGGTAATTCAATAAATAAAGTTTTATCTAATCTACCAGGTCTAAGCATTGCAGGATCAATCATATCAGGTCTATTTGTTGCACCAATAACGAAAATACCCTTTCTATCATTTAATCCATCCAATTCTGTTAATAACGTATTAACAACTCTTGATGAAGATTCTGATAATGAAGAATCTCTTCTTGGTACCAAAGCATCTAATTCATCAAAAAATATAACACAAGGTACTGAAGCTCTAGCTCTTGTGAAAACTTGACGTATAGCTTTTTCAGATTCACCAACATATTTATTTAATAATTCTGGACCTTTAATACTTATAAAATTTGCTCTTGATTCATTTGCCACGGCTTTTGCTAATAATGTTTTACCACAACCTGGTGGCCCCCACATTAATACACCAGCTGGTGCATGGATACCAACTTTTTCATAAATTCCAGGATTTTTAATTGGTTGAACTATAGCCATATTTAATTCAATTCTAATATTTGTTAAAGCACCAACATTATCCCAATTAACATCTGGTACTGTAGCAAAACCTTCTCTTTTAGCAGTTGGTTGAATTGTTGGTAATGCCGTTAGGAAATCATCATATGTTATAGCTAATGGAGCTAATTGTTCAGAAGTTAATGGTGATGGATGTTGTAATAAGAATTTTTGAATTGTTGATAATTTTAATAAATCTTCAATTGCAAAACCTTCTATAGGTATATTATCATCTGATAAAGAACTGAAAATTCTCTTTATAGCACAAATACCAGCAGCTGTTGTCAAGGCTTTTAAATCTGCACCAACATAACCTGGTGTTGCTTTTGCTAATTTTTGAAAATTTAATTCACCATCAATTTTTAAAGAAGATGTCATTTTTTTCAATATATTTAATCTTGAAATTTCATTTGGAACATTAAGACAAATTTCTCTATCGAATCTACCAGCTCTTCTTAATGCTGCATCTAAAGAATCAGGTCTATTAGTTGCACCTATAATAATAACAGGTTTCCCACCAGTTTTATCTAAACTTAATTCATCAATTGAAGTTAACATTTGTGCTACAATTCTCCTTTCCATTTCTCTTTGAGCACCTTCTCTTTTGGGTGTAATAGCATCAATTTCATCGAAAAATATAATACATGGAGCTAATGATTTGGCTTCTTCAAATAATTCACGTATTTTTTTTTCACTTTCACCAGACATACCACTAACAACTGATGGAGCAGAAATATTAATAAATGGAACTTTTAAATCACCAGCTAAGGCATTGGCAATTGTTGTTTTACCACAACCTGGTGGACCATGTAAAAGTACACCTCTTGGTGGTTCAACACCTGTTGTTAAATAAATTTCTGGATGTAAAATTGGCATACCGACTAATTCCATTAGTTGAGTTATAACATCATCCATACCACCTAATTGACTTAATGAAGAGTTTGGAGGAGCTCTATCTTTTTCTACTTATAATGTTTTGTTAGTATTATGTCACCTTTTCATATTTCATTATCAAATTAAACTTACCTTTTTGTCTTTTAGAAGATCTTGAAGATTCTTTTGACCTTTTTTTAGATTTTTTAACTTCTTTACTTGATCCATCAACATCTTCCACAATTTGTTTTTCATTATCATCTTTTTTTGAATCATTTTTATCATTTGATGTATTTGTATCTTCATTTTTTAAATTCCAAAGATTAACAACACTTTTATTCATTTCATTTGTATCTTTAACATCCATCAAATCATCAACATCAACACCATCAAAATCACTATTAATTTCTTCATCATGATCAACTTGACCTGATTGTTCACCTTGGAATGCTTGAATTTCTTGAGCTTCTTCAGTTCGTATTTCTTTTAATACTTTATCTAAAGTTTTTTCCAATACGATTTTTTTAACTCTTTGTAATGATAAATCTTTTTGTTGACAATATAATAAAGCTTCACCAACCCTAAGATCTTTAGCTAATGCAATATTATTGAAATCATCTTGAAGTTCTTCTTGTTCTTCACCTTCATTTGAATTACGTTTATTTGATTCAGTTTTTTCATCTAATAATCTATATATTAATGATGATAATTTTGAATCAAGCGAGCCTGTTAGGTTACTCTTTTTAGTACTTTTGACTTTGACCATTACGACAATAGACCCCTTCCCAAAATCAACCTTCAAAGATTTTAAACAAGGTGTTTTCAAATTCTTTTAAATCTTTTTGTCTTGTAATTTTAATTTTCTATACACCCGATGAGCTATAGAAAAAAAAAATTGTAAGCAGATTACATAAGCGGAGGGTATAACATTGTAACTAAAATATAAATACATTAACAAGAGATGGAATAAGTTATGATTAGGTAAATTAAATGGATATATCATTTCCTGCTACTATTGATTATATATCCTCCAATTTTCAAGTTTAAAAAACACATTAAAAAAGCATTAAAAAATCCATTTCAATCAATGAAAAGCCAATATATTAAAAATTAAACATTCACTTATAAATCACCATTTTCCACAGCAATCAATCTATTAACAACCCCTAACTGAGTCTTAATCCTTTCATCATCCTCAACAAAGCATAACCCTCTTTCTAAATCATATTTAGCTTGTGTTAATCTCCCCATATTAGAAGCAGCAGTAGCTCTTCTTAAGAAATTTTCAGGAGTATTAACTTGAGTACCTAATAACATATCAGCATCATTATACGCATCTATCCAATTCTTAGTCATGATATAAGAATCACATCTTGCCATAAGGATTAAATTTAATTCTTGTAATTGTATGGCAAATGCTTCCCATCTTGATCTTCTACTTGCCATATCAATAGCCAAGGAGAATTGTTTTATAGCATCATGATGTTTCCCACGTTTTTGAGCATCAATACCTGATGTAACTAATTTTTTAATTAATGGTGTTAATGTCTTTGATGGTTCTGGAGATTCAGGAATTTCTGAATTTAAATTTATAAAATCTTTTGATAATCTATTTAATTGATCAATTTCTTCTTTTAATTCTTGATCATTTTGGGCAGATTCGTTGATTGATATTATTTTGGTGATTGGGTCATAAGTGATTGGAAGTGACATGATGGATTGTGTTGTATTGTTGTTGTTGTTCTTGATGTTGATGTTGTTGATGTTCATTTGATTTATCTTCTCTTTTAATTTCGTGTTCACTTTTGAAAAACTCGAGGGAAATATCCGAATTAGGAAATTCACCGTTTATGGTTGAATCAATACAAAATATACAATATAGCTATTACTAAAGATTTGATAGTTCTACATATTTCAATAATTTTTAAAAAGCTAATGAACTCTTTTTGTTGTCAAAAGATCATATTATTTTATGATTTATGCTTATCAATATATATTAAGATAAAAAAAACTAAAACTTTGGTAGGGAATTAATAAATGAAAAGATTTATATAGGTAATTCATCTATAAATCAGTATCATCTTCATCTGGTAATGGTAATGCAGTAGCTTGTTCCATTTCTTGTTGGTATTGTTGCATCAAGTTGTTATCAACAGTAACTTCAGGTGGAGCTAAAGCAGGAGATTCAACAAATTCTAATTGAGGATTACCAACTAATTTTCTTGCTAACCATAAAAATGGTTTTTCAAAATTATAATTTGATTTAGCAGAAATATCATAATATTGTAAATTTTTTTTACGATGGAAAGTAATAGTTTTAGCTTTAACTTTTCTTTCTTTAACATCAACTTTATTACCAGTTAAAACAATTGGAATGTTTTCACAAACACGAACTAAATCTCTATGCCAATTTGGAACGTTTTTATAAGTGATACGAGAAGTAACATCAAACATAATGATACCACATTGACCATTAATATAATAACCATCTCTTAACCCACCAAATTTTTCTTGACCAGCGGTATCCCAAACATCAAATTTAATTTCACCATAATTTGTAAAAAAAGATAAAGGATGAACTTCAACACCTAAAGTGGCGATATATTTTTTTTCGAATTCACCAGTTAAATGACGTTTAACAAAAGTGGTCTGTGATGTTGTTAGTATGAATGAACTTAGTGTATTGTTGTATAGATCAGATCGAGATCAGAAATCAAGAAATCAAAACAATGGAGGATCATCAAAATGATTGATCATTGATTGAATTGGTAATCAGATGAATAATGATCTATAATCATCTTCATCAATCAATCACTTGTATAAATCAATAAATCATTCCATTGATTTGTTATTCCATAGATCATCGAAAACGTAAACAACAACAAATAACAATGACAACAAAGCAATCATCAACACAAAACATTAATACATACTTTACCGGTACCACCATCACCGACTAAGACTAATTTGAAATTTGGAACTTCTTGAGCCATTTTGAATTATAATAATAACTTAATTCTTGTTTATTAAAAGATTTCTTAAGGAGTATTTTCAAAATTTCAATTTGATTTTTTTTTTCCCTTTAAAATTGTTCGAAAAATTGCCATCGAAAATTTTTCTGAGAAAATGAAAACAAAGAAAAAATGAAAAAAAAATAAAAACACAGTCACGTTTTTCTCCACGTGATTAATAAATAACAAATACTATTATATTCTTATTACTATTATATTACTATTATTACAATTAGTTTATTATATTACTATTACTATTACATTCATATCTCATCATTCATTAGCCATATACACTCAATTAACAGTCTTCAGCATATCTGGAATCACCTCTTTACCACACACATCATGTAACACTCTAGGTGGAGGTCCAGGTAAATTTCCCAAGGTTGGTGGTGGTGGTAATTTCTTAGTTTGACTTAATCTATAATAATCAACTGGTTGTTTTGATTGAGACCCAGGTACACCTCTATATAATTTATCCACTGTTATTTCAAATGGTAAATCATTAGATCTCCATATCCCTAATTTCTTAGCTTCATCTTCATAATAATCTGCAACTAATTTAATATGATTTTTACCTGTTAAATGATTTTTCCTAACACTTGTAGCATCATGAGTTAAATAAGCTTTGATTTGTTAGTAATTGAACAGGAAAAAACAGAACAAAAGGGAATACACACATTTACAATAATCACAATAGAACCTCACCATATTAACCAAATAACAACAAACAACACAATCAATTGACACAACTTCACTTGATTAACCACTGTCTTTCCAACCAATTAAATTAAAATTGAAATCTCAAAAATTAAAATATTCGCGACTTTTGACCCACCGATTTTGATTTTTCACGAATTTGATTGAATCTCACTGGCAAAAAAAACCCACCAAAATGAACAAAAGCACCCCTTTGAACAGAATTACTACAAAAAGATAACAAATCAATTGATTACATATCTATTAAATATTCAATTCCAAAGATGTTCTCATTAGCCAAACGTTCTTTAGTTTCAAAAATTTCAACTCGTTCATTTTCTTCAATTCCTGCGAGAAAGAATGTTATTTCAGATTTATATGTTAAAGAATTAAAAGGTTTTAAACCAACTCCATTAACTGCTCAAGATGCTGAAGGTTCTGTTAAACCATGGAAAGCTCCAGCTGCTCCAAGAACCCCAGGTTTAGAAGCAGATGCTGCTACTCAATTGAATGAATATGAATCTGCTCCTGTTGAAGTTGATTCTGCTCCTGTTGCAAATGAAGGTGCTACTGAATCTACTGGTGAAGATGATTGGTTTGTTTTAGAAGAAGATCCAGTTGAAGAAAATCATCATTAGGTTTCCTTGGACTACCCGTGGAATGATTGATATGAGGATAGAAAAACATAATAAAAAACAATAAAAACATAAAACACACATATACACACATGGCATTTGGAATTATAATTAAATGAAAAACTTGTTTTTATATGAATTGAATTCAATAAACACACGTTATTATTTCATACTTTTTAACTTTTTACATATACTTCAAATACAAAAAAAAATTAAATTAAAATCATTGGGTAATGTCATGGAACTATTACTTTTTTGATCTTTTTAAAAATAAAAATAAATTTAAAATTAAATTAAAATAAAATATATACAAATTTTTGGTTATTAAATTGTTGTTTTGTAGTAGAAATGTAGAATTTTGTATCAATTTATTTCTTTATGTCTCGATGGACAAAAACGGTAATATTTCCTAATTTGGGTATTTTTCAATGTTTTTCTTTGGTTTGTTTACATTTTTAGATCATATAGATCTTTTGATTGAATAATTGATTTGATGATTTGAACGGTGAAAACTAAAGAGATATAAAAGGTGATAATGGTTGATTTGGATTCTATCAAGAGAGCCAGTGAATTGGTAAACTCAATATTACATGCTAAAGGTTTTTTAGAAACAAATGATGAAGAACTATTATTTAAATCTATAAATGATGAAAATTTACAAGATTTAGAATCAATTCAACAAAATGATAAATTAGTTATAAATACCATATATTCATTGATTCAAAGTTATGAGAAATCTAAAACTGAAATACAATTCTTGATGGATCAATTAAATGATAAAAAGGAAATTATAAATCATTATGAAGAATCAAATAAAGAATTACATATTAAGAATGAATCATTGATTAAATTGAATTATAAACAACAAAATGAAATAAATCATTTACAAAATAATTTAAAATTGAATAAACAACATACCTTGTTACAAGAAAAAAATTTCTTGAAAGAAAAACATTTAAATAATTCATTGAAAACTAAATATGAAATTGATATCAAAAGAAAAACAGTAACAATTAATCAATTACAAGATAAATTATTGAAAAAACATAAAAAATTTCAAAATGTTATAGAAGGGAATATAACAACAACTTCCTCAATAGATTCAAGTTTTATATCAAATACAACAAATGATTCACAAGATAATGAATTAGAAAAAATGATGATTAACCTAAGTCAATTAATTACAAATATAACTTTACAAAATGATGAAAATTTAAAATTTATAAATTATTTATCATCATATTTATCCATAATTATTGAATTTTTAATCAAAAAATTAAACCCTATGAATCAAGATTTAATTTTATCATTACCACCAAGTCCAAAATTTTTTTATTCAAATTTTTTGAAAACACATAAACAAGAATCAATACCAAATCAAGATATAAGTACCAAAATAAGTAATATAATAGATTATGAAAAAATTCAATCAATAATTTTCCCTAAATTAGATAAATTTTATGAATTAATTATAAATCAAGATCAATCACAAGTTCAAATCCCTAAACCTAATGGTAATCAATCTAAAATTTTGGAATTAGAAATGAATATAAAGCAATTAAATGATAATTTAAAAATTGCTATTGAAACTAATGAAAAATGGAGTAAGAAATTTAATGATTTAGAAAGGAATTCAAAATCAAAAGAGTAGTATGATATTTTAATAGCTGGGAACCAAATGAATGATAGTAAGTGATATATTGTGAGTTCATGAGTCATGAGTGAATGTATGCAGTTAGTGTGATTGAATATCAAATATATATCTAATATGATTTGAAATGAATTGAAAATGAATGAATATGCAATTTAGTATGGATTATTGATTAATTATTGACTTCATGATATATATCATATGTTATCACATCAACTATTGAAGATTGCTTTGAAGTTGTTTGTGGTTTTTCATCCTGATAATCATTTAAATTTATATTACTTTGTTTTAAAAATCTTGGTAAATCAATTTGAATCTCTTCATCATTAAATTTTTCATTATTTATTGATGATGATTCTTGACAATTATATAATTTAAATAATAAGAATATAAAAAAAGTTAAGAAAACTAATATTAATAAACCAATTAATCCAATAAGTAAAATTATAACAATTGATGATGAGAATTCATTTGATGATAGAAGATATTCATGTGAATTATCTTTATATAATGATGAGACATAATCTGATAGATTAAACATATTGATGAAGCTTTGAAACTTGAACAACTAATGAACAACTAATGAATAATATATGATTAAAACTAATGAATAGTTATTTAAAAGAATGAAAAAGACCCTCGTTTAACACTTTTATTATAAATCCATTCATGTACTTAATTTTCATTTCGGGTATTTTGGGAATATTACTAAATTTTTTCCAAATGTGAAAAATTAAACTTCTGTAAATTTCCACGCGCAAACGATAAACGAACAATAGGAAATAAGGGAAAAGACAATAATAACAATACAATTTATCAGATTTATAAGATATACAATATTATCATCTTCTAGTCTGAATCATTCTCTATTTAACAATGTTTTCCTCGTTTAAATCGCGTTAACAAGGGTCTTTAATTGAAGGAAACCGGATTTATGATTACATGGATTCCGTTCCCGATATCAAAAGTTATAAAGAGATCGTATATTAATTATCAGGTAATTCACTCTTCTGATAAATTAACATGAATGGCTTTTGTTTGAGTATAAACTTCAATCCCACTTTCTCCTAATTCTCTACCAATACCACTTAATTTATACCCACCAAAACTAGCTCTAATATCTTCATCATTTGAAGAATTTATCCAAACTGTACCTGCTTTCAATCCTCTACCAAATTTATGAGCTTTTTGAATATTATTTGTGAAAACTGCAGAACCAAGTCCATATTTAGTATTATTTGCCTTGGTTAAACCATCTTCAAACCCTGAAAATTTAGTTATTGTAACAACTGGTCCAAAAATTTCTTCTTGAAATAATTTTGAATCTGTTGGTACATCTTTGAAAATAATTGGATTTTGAAACCAACCTTTTTGTTCTTTATAAATTGCAGAATCACCAACTTCTAATTTTGATAATTTTTCAACTTCTTCACCATGTTTAATATAACTTTGAACTCTATCTAATTGAACTTTGGAAATCAATGGACCAACTGTAGTTTTATCATCAAATGGATCACCAACAATCCAATTTTTCTTGATTTCTTCTTGGAAAAGAGTTAAAAATTCATCATAAACTTCTTCTTCAACTAAAATTCTTGAATTTGCAGTACAATTTTGTCCAGTATTATAAAAAATACCCAAGGCACTCCATTTAGCAGCATTTGATAAATTTGAATCTTTGAAAACTACAGAAGGTGATTTCCCACCACATTCTAATGTAACAGCTTTTAAATTTGATGTAGCAGCTTGTTGAATATGTTTACCAACTTGAGTTGAACCTGTAAATGCAATTTTATCAACATCTTCATGTGATGCAATTGCAGATCCAGCAATTGAACCTAATCCACTAATTATATTAACAACACCTGGTGGGAACCCAGCTTTAACAATCAATTGACCAAAATATAATAGAGATAATGGTGTATTCTCGGCAGATTTAATAACAATTGTATTACCAGCAGCTAAAGCACTTTGAATTTTCCATGATGCCATTGCTAATGGGTAATTCCATGGAACAATTTGTCCAACAACTCCATAAGGTTCTTTAATTTCATAAACAAATTTTTCATCAGAGATTGGTAAATATGAACCTTTAATTTTATCTGAATAACCGGCAAAATATTTTGTTAATTCAATAATTTGTGATAAATCACTTTGAGAATTTGATTCATATGGTTTACCTGCATCTAATGAATCAATCTTGGCTAAAATATCTCTTTCTTGTTCAATCAATTCAGCTAATCTATATAATAATTCACCTCTTTCAACACCAGAAGTCTTGGACCATTTAGTTTCATATGCTTCACGAGCAGCTTTAACTGCAATATCAATATCTTGTTCATTAGCAGCATAAACTGATGTAATTAATTCACCATTTGTTGGATTAATAGTTTCAATTAATTCATCTGAATGAGATTTAACAAATTCATTATTGATGAATAACCCAATTGGTTGTTTATATGTTTCACCAGTTGGTAATTTAATATCTGTAAATAAGGACATGATTGGATTTATACCTTTTGCAATTGATTCTTATACTATTCAATTGATGGAAAATGATTAAAGATTAAACTTTCCAGCCACAACAAAGCCTTAAATACTTTTCAATAATTCCCAAATCATCGAAAACGTCCACAGTTTTTCAATAATAAAGATCTTATTGATCCTTATCATTTGAAATGTTGCAATCAAAATTTACAATAAACATTCGCGAAAACTGTTAACGCCATACTTTTTTAAATTTAATTGTGGAGGAGTGGATTTACCTTCCTGTTTGGGAAATGGTTATATAGTGATGGGTCTGGGTGATTCTAGGCTCTGAATATGGTCAGGTGACAGGTGGTCTAGACTGCTGTGGCGATGGGTCTTGGAGACTCGGGTGGACTAAGGAGTACCTAAGGGGTGCATCTAGACACCATCATCGAATTTTTATAGGTACATAATCTTTTATACTCATCTGAAATCTCTTTGAAGGAACGTCAGTGAATCTCATAATTTAATTTTCAGGCATTAATTTATATGAACTTTGAAGTATAGGATTTCACATGACTCGTGGGTATATGTTTACTGGGATTAATAGCTGAAGACGCTAGAACTTAGAATCATCATGAGTTATACGCCTTTAAAACCAAACTTTCTGACATATATAATTAAAAATATTTGAAGCTCGTGTTTCAAGTTATAACACTTTAATTGATTTAACTTGACACGATTTCAAGCGGGTTTTCACTTTTATTCACTGGCTGGCTTATTGTGATATTAATCTAAGTGACCTAGAGTGATGAATTAAAGTTACGAGTTGATGAATTATAAGATGATGCCCCAAATTTGTCAATTTCATCTTCCTAAAACATCTTTTGTTTTAAGAATTTTTACATCTTTAAGCACCTTCATACTGATTTATACTCAGACTCTATATAGACTAACAATTAACTTCCATGTAAATCTTGTCAAGGCCAGATTTAGACATCTAGAGTTTAAAAGTTAAGCAAAAACACAACATGAACTAATCTTTTCTTTTATCAAACAAACCTACAAAGACTTTCCATTTTAGAACAGATCCTTCTTTAATAGGTAATTTGTTCCTACTGTTGTTATATAGAATCATATTAAGTTTAAACAGCTAATTCAAAGTTTTAAACTAGATTTTATTCCATGTTACCTATGCTAAATACAATTGAGTTTAAAAACCTTAAAAGTCTCGAATCATTTAGCTTCGTACATGTATAGGCCTATACGTTTATATGCCATCTTTGAAATAGTACCTTTGATCAAGATTGCGATGTCGAGAAGTCGAGAACCGTTGACACAAAGCAACATATATCAACAAATGTGACGCATCCCCAAAGGAGACCAAGCAATTAATAGCTATTAGCTATACAGTACATGTGCTACAATCTTTAAAATTAAATTAAATGAAAATTTAAGGATTAGAGACCTAAACAAACACCTATATATATGTTATGATAAACTAAAGTTAAAAAAGATTAAAAGTTAACTTAGACCATTGAAATAGAAAGAGTTGTGAATAATTTTGGTAGACCAGCTCTGTATAAGAAATTGAATATATGTTGTATAAACGATAATTATAAATGAATCAACGCTTTTAAAGGGAAACTAATGTACAAATGATTAAAAATTTAGCAATGAAAAACAAACACAAGCAGCTATTTAGCTTTTATAATGATTTGTGAATGTCTTATGAACATTGACCTGGGAATTTTCTATCAGTAACTGGAACTGGGAAAATTTCATTATAAAATAATTTTTGGAAATCCCATTCTAATGAAGTTTCAGTTTTCCAAGTCCAATAAACCCAACCACCTCTTTTTTCAAATGCATCTAATTGAGCTTCAATATATTTTCTATAATTATCCTTCTTTTCTTCGGTCCATTGAGTAATATCTTGAGAACCTGCACAAGTACCAATATTAGCATTTTCTGAAGGATCTTTGTTAAAAGAACCATCATAACGAGCGCCAATACCAACACCATTCAACCATTTTTGACAATCAGTTAATGCAGCTGACCATTCAGCACATAAATTCCAATGTGGTTCTTTTGTTGAATCTTCACCCCATGAACAAGCTAATTTAACATGGTCATCAATTGATAATTTATTTTCAGCTCCACTGAAAACTTGATAATGGTGATGATCAATAACAACATTCCAATAATCTGGTGTTTTAAATTTATTATCAAAATATGTATAATTTTGGAATGCATCATGAATAATAACATTTTGAACAGATCCAGTGTCTCTTAAACCTTTATAACCTTTAGACCAGAAATCATCCAATTTATCCATACTTAAAACTGATCCTAATGGTTCATTCAATAATTCAATACCAATAATTGTATCAGTATAATTATCACCACCATATTTATCAAAAATATGTTGTAAAACATCTAATGTAATTTGAGTATTATCACCATTTTGGAATTCCCAAGAATCTCTTAAACCTGAATTATCAAACCCATTTTGAGAACCTGGGGCACCATGTAAATCAACCCAAGCTTTTAAGTCATGTTTTTTAGCCCATTCTAAAGCCTTATCTAAATAAGCTTCTTGACCTTGAACATATGGATCATCATCTAATAAATGGAAAGCCCAATAACCAATTGGAATACGAACAAAATTTAATCCAGCACCTTTAATACTTTCAAAATCAGATTCAGTGATCCATGAAGACCAATGGTTTTCTAAACGTTCTTTAGCTAAATCTTTACCAAGTGCTTTGGTATAATGATATTCATCAACTGGAACTTTAGATTCATCATCAGAAATTGCTTCAAATAATGAAGGATTAATAAAAGGTTCAAGAACAAACCAACCACCTAAATTAACACCACGGATTTTTTGAGTTTCATAATCCCAACCTGAAGCAGCACGCTTATTATAGAATTGAGAACCACCATGAGATGGAACGATTGGTGATGCAATTATAGTGGAAACAAGTGTCGATAGGACAAGTGTTGATAGTAACATTTTGTAATTTATAATTTATGATAATACCAGATTGTGTGTGAAAGGGATGAAATTATATCTTTATGGCTGGCTATTATGTGATCTAGATCTGGGGAGAGATGGTAAAAACGATTGTACTATGAATGAATGATGGTTTAGGTATCCCTCCAAGTATTCTAATCGATATTTATAAAGTAAATTGAAAAGATCAATTATATTAATTGAAATTCTTATTAAAGAACCGGAAATTTCTTGTTATTTATACAATTCAGTTTTTAGTATTTTAGCAGTTTTTGATGGTTATTATTATACTTGAAACTTTGAAACTTGATGATTTAAACTTCGGGCATGCAAATCCCAAGCAGATTAGTACATGAGGCTTGCAGACAACGTGCATATTTGGAAACAACTTTTAAAATTCCATGGGACTGGAGAGCTGGAAAATGCCTAGAAATGGCCTGGTAAAGGACTAGAAGTCTTGGAATATCTACTGATAACGCCCAGTGAAGCTCATAGGAACCCCAGGCAGAGAAGCCCAGGCTACGCAGGCTCATTCTTCCTAGCCGTACACCAAGTTTCAACTTCTAACTCGCTGCTCAATTGTTTCATGATGGTTTTAATGTTTCAATTGAGTTTCCTGATGTTACAAATGGTATGTGGATCTGATGTTCATATGATAGTATGAGAATAGGTATGTTCAGATGTCTTTGGTATGTTGCTTGGTGTTCATCAGCTTGTTTAGATATGTGTTTCTGACAGATGTAGTATCTTGTATAGCCCAGAAGAACCACTTTGGGTTTTGATTTTTCTATAAAGAGTAGGTCAAAGTTCTAAACAGAGTTAAAGAAAAGTTGTTAGACAGAGCTTGAAGGGAATTCTTGAGTCTAATGAGTAAATCCAATAGCTACTGTCTATTAGTCTTTAGCCCATGAGATCAAATGTTGCACTATCCAGCAAGATACTGTTTATGACTTTCGCTGGTACAATTTCAGGAATTGAGCTTGTCATTTCAATTTTACTATGGAGAAGGGGAAGATCAAAATATATGACGTTAATCAAGTATCGTATCTAAGCTATTATGACAGGTATTTTCAAAGCTCAACTACGTTGAATTATAGGCAAACTAGGCTCAAAATCTAAGTACATCATGTTGAGATCTTTACAATCGCAATAAATCAAGTGAATTATTCTCACGATTATCGATACAGAACATGGGGTAGTGTAACTTGCTAGTTGACAATATGAGATGTCATTTCTGATCTTAGAACTTAGAACGGATCATGTAATTGGTCATTTGAGGGGTGTATGTTACTTGGTATTCATTAATTGATCATGTATATAGCATCTTAAAAATGAGGTCCTTAATCTGGTTTTTTTAAGTTTAGTTTAGATTGACAATAGTATAGCTTACTTGAAAATCCATTGATCAAAATTTTAAGTCGGTTCAATTCTACCGTGTTAATGTAGAAGCCAGAATGCATAATATTTGAATGATCCAAATATTAACGTCGACAGAAGATCAATTAATAAGTTCAATTCAGTAAGTGATCATTATATTTGCAAATTGCAATTATAATATACAACGATCCATAACGACATGTAAATTGACCATAACTCAAACGAGAAGAAGTACTAGTAAATATATATAATTAATTTTAATGCTACGCCAGCTTATTAACAACTTCATATCATGAAGTACCAATGTACCTCATGAGCTAAATAATATCTTTACTCCGGCCAGATGATCAGATCATGATTTATGAGTACAACGTATTCTGAAGCTCAGTATCATTGAACTATATTATAAATATAAGAAGTTAGCTTAACATGGACTCAAATTGCCAATATTAATTGTAGAACTGATATGAAGCTTATTAGACTTTCTACAAGATGTGAATGCCTAAACGTCCTTGAAGTTTAAATATCTAGCTTGAATTTTTATACGTCATGATCTCGTACCTAAGATTTATTTTACCTTTAATAATAATTCTTGGGGGCGGAAATTCTCGAAAAAGCTAGTAATTAGAGCGTACCTTTGCCTATACACGAAGTAGAAATTTTAAAGTACAAGAACGCATAGAACGTCTGAGGTATAAGTAATTGAGGAGATTACAACTGGGAAACTTATTCATTTAATGATCACACGATTATCATTGATCATTTTTCACAAACTGTATATCTAAATTGATGAGTTTATATGGTTGAGTGATCCTCATTTCATCATCATCAAAGTCATTCTCTATATAAGACTCCATGCGTTAATTACTACTATAATATAGCTTTCAAAATTAGACACATCCATACACCGTTAATTAGTTGCTTTACGCGTCATGGATTATTCCGGAGACTGGGACTTGGTCAGAAAATTATTTTGAAAATTGAAATCAGGTCCCTAGACTCTGTCATCTCTAGTCTCAACGCGTGGAAAAAAGCTGTACAGTTGAACAATACACGATAAAGCATAAGATATTAAGATGATTCAAAAGTAAACAAAATCAAAATCAAAAGGCAGATCAAAAATAAACAAACAATGAAATTTAAAGTAGTACTACTTAAATCTGATCGGAATGTTGATTTAGGACAAGGTTGTTTTGAATCTTGATTTAAGTTGAGTCCATTTATCTCCATGGTGATTCTATTAACATGAAAGATTTTGATTCAACTCTAGGCCAAACCAAACGGCCGAACAGTTTTAAAGTTTGAATGTTTTGAACTTTAAACGTACATAATAATAGTAATTGTATGACTGGTTCAATAATAGAACAGAGAACCGTTATATATGATCTATTTTTATATATCGAATGTTTGTATATCATGAGTGAACGATACAATCTTTGTTTTATACGAATAGGTATTAGGTATACAATGACTTATTTAAAGTTGTTATGATAAACTTTATTTATTAAATGCTATAAACGATCAACCATGCAGCATCTTTAGTCAATATAAATAGCACATCTTTGTTTATTAATCTTGATTCTTTGTGAAATTAAATAATGATCATGATTATACCAAGAGCTTAAGAGGAGTAAATAGTTATAACTTCTTATTGACTATTTGTTCTTTCCAATTTGTTTAAAGGTTTATCTAAAGTTTCCTCCAATTGTTGTTTTAATGATTTATCAGCTTTAAATAAAGGTTTACCTAATGGACTTTTATTTAATTCACCTCTTTGAATATCTTCCACAGTTAAAGGTTTTAAACCAAAAGATTCTCTTTCTTCATCAGTTCTAATATTTTTGAAAAAAACTTCTGGAGGTGTAGTATAACCTAATGCTCTTATAGCATGTTTTGGTAAATAAGTTAAACCAACAACAAAACTTGCATTAACCCAACCAAAACCTTCAGTTGCAACACCTTTAAAATCTGAACCTTGATTCCCATATTCTGCAGTGACTCTATGAGGATCTGTTGCTCTTGTAACATCATATTTTTCCACAACTATACCATTATAATCAACAAATGCTTTAGTCATTAAAAATAACCATCTATATGATAATCTTCTTGTTATATTTTCATATCCATATTTAGCAAATCCAACCCATGCTAAAATTTGTTGTGGAGCCCAACCAAATGGATAATCCCATTGTCTACTTGGTCTATCTAATGAAATTTCACCTCTTGATTTTTCAGTACCAGCAGCTAATCCACCTAATTCTTCAAAAATATGAACATTTTCAGATAATCTTAAAGCTTGTTCTTTTGAAGCAACTCCTGACCATAATGACCAAAAAGTAGTTGCAGTTTCATAAGTATGTTGTTTTTGTAATTTAACATTATAATCAAAGAATAAACCTTTTTCTTCATTCCATAAATATCTATTAATATTTGATTTTCTTAATTCACTTTTATCAATCCAATACTTGGAATCATAAATTTTATTATCAAATAAATCAGCTTTAAATTCATCATTGAAAAATTCTTTAATGAAATATGCTAAATCAACTTCATACTTATAAATTAATGAATTTAAATCAATAGTTGCTAAATCTGCACAAATACCTTCTAATCTATAACTTGTATCATGACCAGATTCTCTAACAGCACGATCATGTAAGAAATAATCATCTAATGGAGGTTCTTTAATATCACCATTATTATAACGTTCTCTGAATTCTTCAATTGTAATATCATATTTTAATGCATAAGGACCCAAGACACTATCAAAATGTGAAGCTTCAGTTTCTGGTGGGATTCCAACACCTTCAGGATGATAACATGATAATCCAGTTTTTTCATTTAATCTTGGTTTTGCAGCCCATATAGTGGAATATTCCTTGATCGCGGCATTTATAGCTCTTTTTAATAAATCTAAAGCTTCAGGATTTTTAATACCTCCCATTTTTTCAAAAACTTTAAATGACATATCTGTTAAAAAAGGTGGTTGAGAACGACCAAGATAATATGATCTATTTGCATTTAATACTTTTCCATAATGTTCAATTTCAAATATGAAATGTTCAACCATACCACGAGCTAAATCAACTTTATTATTAATTAATAAACCTAATGTTTCCATATAAGAATCCCAACCATATTGTTCATTGAAACGACCACCTGGAACCACATATGGGAATGAAACTAAAGTTTCTTCACCTGTTGAAGGATCATGAGTTGATTCCATTGCTAAAGATAATAATCCAGGCTTCTTATTAATTGATTTAATATATTCAGGTGTTATATCTTTTGGTAAATATTCAACTTCTAAATGTAAATCAGGTTGTAATTTTGATGCATTAATATAAAATTCGTATTGTTCTGGACGATTATAAGGAACATAAATTCTTGGATTTGAAGGGATTTTAGTATCTAATGCAAATTGTGCAACACTTATAGAATCAATTCTTCTTGTTAAATTTTTCCAAAATTGAGTAGAAATTAATCTTGATAATCTATCAACTGGATTTTCATTTAATCTTGCTTCATCTAAAATCATTTGATTTCTACCAAATCTTTTAGCAATTGTTAATTCTTGTAATAAATTTGATAACATATAAGTACCACGAATATCAATTTGATTAAACCCATTTGAATTAACAGTACCTAATTTTAAAACTTTTGGACCAGTATCTTCAATTGTAATTTGGAAATTTTGATCAGTATCTTCATTATCTAATAATTCTTTTAAAGTTGCATTAATATCACTAATGAAAAATCTTCTACCACGACCACCATTAATAAAACCAGCTTCATCTTGAGAACCACGTCTCTTGATATCAGCTTTAATTTCATTTCTAAATTCATTTCTTAAAGTACTACCAGTATCAACAACACTCATTGTTCTTGTTCTAGCATATTTTGAATCTTTTGAAGCTTTTTGTGGATCAGTTTGTGGACCATAATAAACATCAGGATGTGAAAAGGGATCATAATCATCCATTGAAGATTTACGACGTGAATGACGACGGAATGGGTTATTCATTTTCAGTTCTTGATTAGTGGACATTAATGTAATTTGTCAATGAACTAATTCTTTTAAGCTGTGTATGATATGTTTAAATTGATTAAAAATGATTGTTGAATGTTGACAAGTTTCCAATGTGATGCCAATCCCCAAATGAGAATTTTGAAAAAAAGCTGGGGCAAATTATCGCTATGATCAAATAAGGAATTGCGATATTCGTATGTGAACTCAGAATTGTGTGAACAGTTGTTTGTATCTGTTTGTGTGTGTTTGTATGTGTATGTTGTGAAGTGATCAAATTTTCAAAACGGATCTCAACTCAGCTTTATATAAATTCCTAAATTGCCAGTTTGTTGTTGTTTGACGTTGTTTGACGTTGTATTTAAAAGTAAGCAATCAAAGTTCTGTCATCAAAATGTATCGTACTTTACGTGTCAATATTAAGTATGTAATAGTCAGGTGAGGCGTCACGTGTAAATGGTAGTAGTTTCAATCAAATACTAATTTATTCAATTATAAGTGATGGGATTGAATTGATTTGAGCTAGTATATGTAAATTATTGTCTCTCTATTCATATATAGCAATATCATGGTTATATTCCCACAATACCCCAAACATTCCCATACAATTCCAACATTTCCCTTGTAAAATTCTTGAATTTTCCATCAAAATTTTTTCATGATCGAAGAAAAAAAAAACAAAACAATAACAAAAATTTTGGTTCATCAATTGAATTGGAAAAGACATCCATCAAAGATCTGATATTGATTATAACTACATCGAACAATGTCTGACGAAACTAAACCTGTTGAAACACCAAAAGTTGAAGAAAAATCAGCAACCACTCAAAACCCTCCAACTTCAAACGTTTTCTCCATGTTTGGTGGTGGCGCTAAAAAGAAGGAACAACCAAAAGATGAAGATAAAGATGAAGAAAAATCAAAAGATGATGAAAAATCAAAAGATGAAAAAAAAGATGATGATGAAGCTGATGAAACTGAACCAAATGTTGATTTCAAACCTTTAGTTCATTTAGAAAAAGTTGAAGTTAAAACTAATGAAGAAGATGAAGAAGTTTTATTTAAAGTTCGTGCTAAATTATTTAAATTTTTTGCTGATTCAAAAGAATGGAAAGAAAGAGGTACTGGTGATGTTAAATTTTTAAAACATAAAACTACAAATAAAGTTCGTTTATTAATGAGAAGAGATAAAACTTTAAAAGTTTGTGCTAATCATTTCATTTCTGCTGATTATGAATTAAAACCAAATGTTGGTTCTGATAGATCATGGGTTTATAACGTTACTGCTGATGTTTCAGAAGGTGAACCTGAAGCTGCAACTTTAGCTATTAGATTTGGTAATAAAGAAAATGCTGATAATTTTAAAGCTGAATTTGAAAAAGCTCAAGAATTAAACAAAAAAAAATAATCTAATGAATATAAAACAAAAGAAAGCATGATTAATTATAATATTTAATATATATGAAATCTTTTTTTTTAACTTTTTACAAATCCGCTGTTTATACAAAATGTTAACGTCATAGAAAATCATGAAATTTTTTCCACGTATACAATATGTTACACATTCATTAATATTAAATAATTTATATTTACAATACTTTTTTACTTCCAACATCTTCATCATAATTATTCCTCTGTCTTGAATAATTCTTCTTAAAACTAAACTTAATCAATATCCATATGATATGTAATGGAGTTAAATCAGGCCATAGAGTATCAACTAATTCAATTTCAACATTTTTATCAACAACTTGCCATAATAAAAAATCACTTAATCTTGTAACACCACTTGTTCTAATCAATAAATCTAATGGTGCTTGATTTTTTGTATATAAATTATTTTCAATTAATTGTTCATCAATTAATTCCACTTCAGTTTTTTTAGATATTATAGTTTTAATTGAATTTGTAATTTCATTTCTTGCTGTATATGGGAAACAAACATTTAATATAGCTCTATTATTATTTTTAGTAATTTCTTCAGCTTGATTTAATACTTTTAAAACTTCAATTGGTAATAATGATTTATCACCAAGTACTTTAATCTTAATACCAAATTGTTCACATATTTCACCTTGTTCAACCATTTGTGAGAATCTTAATTTAGCTAATTCCATAAGCCAATCAACTTCAAATTTATTTCTTTTAAAATTTTCAATTGAAAATGCAAATACTGTACAACTTTCTACACCACATTCATAACAAATTTCTAAAATTTTAGCCATACTTTCAAAACCTGCATTATGACCTTCTTTTAATTCAATTTTATGTTTCCTAGCAAATCTTCTATTACCATCCATAACAAATCCAATATGTTTAGGAACAGGCCCCGTCGTTAGGATTTTGGCCAATACATTCTTTAATTGTTCCTGTAAGTATCCAGCTTTTGGTAACACATTGATCCAATCCATCATCAACACCTGAATCAATCAATTTCCTTTCAAACAATAATGTACGCTGGCACTTTAAATTTCAGTGATGAGTTCGTTTATTATGCAATTTTCCACAGGGTAAGAAAAATCCCAAAAATATGTCCGCGAATTTGCTTTTGTATGGTTTTTTCGGACCATTATGAAAATTTACTTGAACTATTAGCGCTCCAGATTTTAAAGAGAAAGACAGAGTAACATCAACAAAGACCTGATTGTTTGGTTTTAGAAAGGACACAAGGTCAATCAAAGAGACAAGATATGCTATCAGTGTCCAAAAGAGCCCTTAGGGTGGGTATACCCTCGAGAAGATCTACTTCAATAGTGTCCACGTTGAGATATAAATCTAGTTGGTCTACAGCAGTGGAAACAGCAGCAAGATTAGTTACACCTTCATCAATTTTAAAAGATCCAATTTCATTAGTTTCACATGAAATGTCACAATTGGCAGCTAATATAGGGACTCTTATAGGTTCAGGACATCCAACTTTAAATAGAATTAGTGCATATTATTTTGAGAGTCAAGGTAAAAAAATTAGACCTTTATTAGTATTATTGTTAAGTAGAGCTATAAGTGAGATCCCATTAGAACAAAGAAATAGAATTAAGATTGATGATCTGGATATCCCTGAACAACCAGTATATGAAGGTACAAAATCTCTTGGTGCTATATTAAAAGAACAAAATGGTGCTATTTCTCCATTAAGAATTTTACATGGTATAAATCCAAATATTATTTTAGATCCTTTAACAAAACCTCATGAAACTTTACCAGAATTTGATTCTAAAAGAGGTATATTACCAAAACAAAGAAGATTAGCTGAAATTGTGGAAATGATTCATACTGCTTCTTTATTACATGATGATGTTATTGATAATTCAGATTCAAGAAGAAATAGACCAAGTGGTAATATTGCATTTAATAATAAAATGGCCGTTCTTGCAGGTGATTTCCTTTTGGGAAGAGCTAGTGTTTCAATTTCAAGATTAAGAAATCCAGAAGTTATTGAATTATTAAGTACTTCAATTGCAAATTTAGTTGAAGGTGAATTTATGCAATTGAAAAATACTGTTTTCCAACCAAATGAAGATTTAATTGAAGAAGATACCAAGAAAATTCCTCAACCAACTGGTGCCATTGATACAAAAGTTCATGAATATAGTGTTCAAGCTCCACAAAGTATACAAGGTCATGAAATTACTCATGAACAACAAGTTGACGCGGCATTTGAATATTATATCCATAAAACATATTTGAAAACTGCAGCATTATTATCAAAATCTTCAAGATCTGCAGCTATCTTAAGTGGTGCAAATGAAGATGTAATTGAAAATTGTTATCAATTTGGTAGAAATGTTGGATTATGTTTCCAAATGGTTGATGATATTTTAGATTATACACAAACTTCAGAAGCTTTAGGTAAACCAGGTAATGCAGATTTAAAATTAGGTTTAGCTACAGCACCAATCTTATTTGCATGGAGAGAAAATCCAGAATTAGGTGAATTAATTAGTAGAAAATTTAAACAGGAGGGAGATATTGAAATTGCAATGGAACAAGTTCAAAAATTTAATGGACTTGTTAAAACTCAAAAAATGGCTGAAGATTATTGTCATAAAGCTTTAGAAAATTTAAGAAATGTCTTACCTGAGAGTGATAGTCGTTCTGCTTTAGAATTTTTAACTAATGCAATTTTAACAAGAAGTAAATGATTTGTGAATTTACATTGTGAATTAAAGATTAGATTTATAGCTTTGGTTTCTTAAAAGTTTATATATATTATATATTATACATTATGTACATAGCTCTTATTGGCATTAAGATTAATGTTAATTGGTTGATTTGCATTATAAAACTAATATCATCATGTAATGGATGTATCTAGCTAGCTGCTTTCCCTTGTAACTTACGATATTCGCCAAATGTTCTGATATGGTCCCATTTGTACCTGAGCCTTGGAAATTGAATACTTTAATTTAGAGTATTACATTGAACTGACAAGATGAAATCATATCAACATATAGCTTCGGACTTGATCATGATAGCTATATAGCAGTGTTCAGTCTTAAGATCATCTAAACGACATTCATGATTCTAACGTTTTCCTCCACATTCCAAGCTTAGATCTTCGAGTCTAAAGTGACAGATTGGGCTTTTTTTTGAACGTGGCTGCATGTGAATATCCATCTAAATTCTAATCTTGTCTTATTCCTGGTTTATATGGAGTCATGGAGTCACAACTTTCATTGTACGTGCAGACATCATGAGAACAATAAGCCAATAACGAAAACATATGACTTACTACCCCAGTATTTGAGCTCCCCTTCGAGCCCTGAGTCATACCCTTATATCTAAGTTAGACTCCTTCATCACTGTGTGACTGCTCGCATGTCCCATCTTCTTCGAGTCGCTTTTGATCGTTGACCGTTGAACTCTTCTGGCCAATTGCCTGCACCCGATCATGTCACACTTATCTCTTTAAATTTCCAGATTCCCATGGAAAAACATGAAAAAAACACCATTGAAATCCCATAATTCTCTATATAAACACTAGATACACCCTCTAATACCACAACCACTCCCACCACATCACTTCATCAACAATATCAACAACAAACAACGCTTTAAACAAAACAAAACTAAATTATCACAAGCAAAAGTTTTACGTAATCTGTTTTTTTGCTGCGCGTCCCACATTTTTATTTTTTGGCGCAGAATTTTTGATTTCTTGAAAAAAGCTTTAAAAAGGAGATGGAAACACCAAACAAACAAAAATCAGAAACTAAACAAGAAACAACATCAACTGACTCAGATCTATACTCAACTATAGACTCTTCAACTCTCGCTTCTAACAACAACAACAACAACAGCAACAACATGCCATTCGACAAGAAGGACTTCACTAGAGTCCAGAGTGGCTTTGAAGTGCAGTCGAAATCACCACTCTTATCAAATGAGGATTCAACAACTGATAATGAAGACATCACAAGAGATGACATCAACGAAACACAACCGAATCATGACACATCAAATGAAAACATACAGATCAAACTACCAGTTGACGATGAAGATGATACTTCTGTTCTTATGACTTTCCATAATACAAAACCTTCACCATTAATTATTGTCCTCACTATTATTTCCTCAATTTCTGGTTTCATGTTTGGTTATGATACAGGTTATATCTCAAGTGCTCTTGTGGCGATTGGAACTGATTTAGATGGGAAAAGATTAACTTATGGTGAAAAAGAGATCATCACCGCTGCTACATCTTTAGGTGCTTTAATTACTGCTTTAATGGCTGGGTTATGTGCTGATTTCTTTGGTAGAAAACCAACAATTATGAGTTCAAATGCAATGTTTTTAATCGGTGCAGCTTTACAATGTGCTGCGAAGACTTTTTGGGTCATGGCCGTCGGTAGATTTATCATGGGTTTTGGTATTGGTATTGGTTCTTTAGTTTCACCTTTATTTATTAGTGAAATTTCTCCATCAAGATTTAGAGGTCGTTTAACTGTGATTAATTGTTTATGTATCACTGGTGGTCAATTAGTTGCTTATGGTTGTGGTGCTGGTTTAACACATGTTCATAATGGTTGGAGAATTCTTGTTGGATTAAGTTTAATACCTGCTGCTATTCAATTTTTCGTTTTCTTTTGGCTACCTGATACTCCAAGATATTATATTATGAAGGGGAAATTAGATAAAGCTTGTGCAGTGTTGAAAAGAACCCATTTAGATTCAACTGATGAATTGATTGAAGATAAAGTTGCTGAATTAGCAAGATTAAATTCACAAATTCCTGGTAAAACTATTCTCCATCAAACTTGGAATGCCATCAAGGAAGTTCACAGTGTTCCATCAAATTTAAGAGCTTTAGTAATTGCTTGTGGGCTACAAGGTATTCAACAATTTACAGGTTTCAATTCCCTTATGTATTTCAGTTCCACAATTTTTGAAACTGTTGGATTTAATGATTCTACTGCAGTTTCTATTGTTGTTGCAGGAACAAATTTCATTTTCACAGTCATTGCATTTTTCATTATTGATAAAGCAGGTCGTCGTTTAATGTTACTATTGGCTATTCCAGGTATGATGGTTTCATTAATTCTTTGTGCAATTGCATTCCATTTCCTTGGTGTCAAATTTGATGGTGGTCATGATGCAGTTGTTGAAACCACAGGTATTACAGGATGGGGGATCCTTGTTATTGTTGGTATGATTTTATATGTTGCCACATATGCTATTGGTATTGGTAATGTTCCATGGCAACAATCTGAATTATTCCCACAACAAGTTAGAGGTATTGGTACTTCATATGCCACTGCTGTTAATTGGGCAGGTTCATTAGTTATTTCATCAACTTTTTTGACAATGTTACAAAATATAACACCACCTGGTACTTTTGCCCTTTTCGCTGCATTATGTGCTGTGTCTTGGGTTTTCACATTCTTTTGTTATCCAGAATTAAGTGGATTAGAATTAGAAGAAACTAAACAATTATTAACTGGTGGATTCAATATTAAAGCTTCAAAAATTTTAGCTAAAAAGAGAAAGAAGCATGTTGATGTTGAACGTCAAGTTAAAGCATCTCATGAAATCGTACATCATGTTAGTCAAGAACAAGTTTAATATATAAAGAAGGTGATAAAAACGGAAAAAAAAAGGAACGTTGTATGATATAGATAGTTTGTTTGTTGGTTAGATGACTATATTTTTAATAATTTTTAATGATTCTATAAGTACTTATTCAAAGTACTATTAATAATTTTAATGCATGTTTATATATTTAAAAAAGTCCTTTTCGTTGTAGAAGAGTGTTACTACAGAATTATAGTATCATTAATTAATATATTATGCTCTCTAATATACAGGGTATTCATATAAACATAACTTATAACAGCTATGGATAAACACACATTACTAATAAGTATCAATATGTACTTTTATGCGATCAATTTTCAAAAACAAAACAAAACCCACATCAAACTAAACAAAAACCCAATAAATCAACATCTCCTTCATATATATAAGCTTTTGTAAACAGCTTGCAATCTTTCTTCTCAGTTTCAGAACCAGCTGTAAATAAAATTAAAATTGTATGCCCTAACATCATCAAAATTTGTGTTTACTTTATTTAATAATCACTTTTACTCTTTTTATGATTCTTTAAGAACCCCATATTTGGTTGTTGAAACCCACTATGACTTTTCCCATGTCCTTTAAACCAATGAGTCCTTCTTATAGGTTTATATAACTCAAAATCATCATTTTCAATATGTACAGAATATCTTATAGTTTTATCTCTTGATAATTCACTTTTAGGTATATGATTTAATTTAATTGAATTTTCTCTACTCAATAACTCGGAATTTGGAGTTTCTGGTCTTGTTGGTGGTTGGGTCTTTGAATAGCCATTATTATTAGAATTATTTGTGAAATGATTTTTTAAAGATGGGAATTGATATGCAGGTACTGAATTTGAAAATTTTGAGCCAGATAATTGAGGTGTTTGAGGTGCTGAAGCTAATTGATCCAAATATGATTGTTCTGTAGGAGACAGCTGTAGTGAGTTTAATAATGGTGAATCATCTGGTTCTAACCCCTTGTTGTATTCATCTTCTCCTTCATCTTCATGATAATTATAATCATGATGATAAAAATAGCTTTGGGACATATTCATATTTGGAGGTGTTTGAAGGGGTGGAGCTATCGAAGTAGCTGGTGTGATTGGGAGCGACTCGCTCGAGAACTGCTGGTCAAAGATCATAATGATTAGGGTATCTGGTGCTTTATAACTGGGATCGTTGCAGGGCTTAGACTTGATGGAATATGTTGATGTTATTGTTTATTGTTTATGTTTATTATGGAATGTTTGTATGCGCGAAAAGACAGAAAATGACAGAAATCGCGGGTTTTCCAATTTCCTTATAAACAACGCATCGAATTTGTAATTTTATTGACTTGTTTTGATCTTTTTTGATCAAGAAGAGAAGTAAAGAAAGATCAGATCAGAATGGAACGTATACCGGTGAATTGGATGGCTGATATCCCATTGGTAACAAGACTATGGACATTGTCGAGCTTGGTTACATCGATTTTGGTGGATACGAAAGTGATACATTTACAAGATATAATGTTTAGTCCAAGACAAATCCAACAAGAACCATGGAGATTAATTACAAGTTTCCTTTATTTGGGACAGTTTGATATAAATTTGATAATATCGCTTTATCTAAGTATACAATATTCAAGACAATTAGAAGAATCATTCAATAGAACAAGAGATTATCTTTGGTTTTTAGGGATTGGTGGAATAGCATTAATAATATATTCAACTTATGTTCAAAATTTATTCATCTTGGGTACTTATTTAAATGAAGTACTTAATTATGTATGGAGTAAAAAAAATCCAGGTATTCAAATGGGATTTTTGGGACTGATTGAATTTAAAGCTGGTTATCTTTCATTTTTACTAATATTGATGAGTTTATTAAATAAAGGTGCTAAATGGAATCCATGGATTGAATTACCACCTTTTATAATTGGTCATGTTATTTTCTATTGTGAAGAAGTATTGGAGACTTTGATTGGGTTTAATCCATTATCACCTCCTTGGTCTTGGGGTATTTGGAATTGGAATAATCAAAATGAACCAATTCAAGTCCCACAACAACCTACTTTAAACGAACGTCAAGATTGATTTATGGCAGTATATTTATAGAAAACCTTTAATGAATTATGATAATGTATTAATATCCTTATAATCTACAAGTAGAAATGCTCGTTTAAATGCTCGTTTATTAATGATTATGTAGCTCTCATTAAAATCTCATAATGATGGTGATCGTATACCTCCATATAATCCTTAATCCTCATTCATCATCCCTGTGTACCTCTTTCCTTTCATTGAATATCTCCCTAAATTTCAAAAACTGTTCATTTTCATCATTCCCACCTTTTAAACCTTTCAATTTCAAATCATATTCATCAAAATCACCAAGTTTTGAATTTTTCAAAATTTCAATGGTTCGTATATCAATATTCATATTCTTAAAGATTGTAAATTTTTGAATCATTTCAACTTGTTCTGTTAAATCTGGTTGATCTTTTAAATTTGATGTTACAAGATTTGTAATATTTGTAATCTTATTAGTTGGACATATTTTATCTAATCTTTGTTGTTCTTTTGATGGTATGAATTTTCTTGGTGGTGGTTTATAAGTTGGTTTTAAACTTTCAAGTTTCTGTCTTGTGAATTGTTGTATTAATTGATGAGAAGGTGATGGTTTAAATCTTTTACGTATTGGTTCTTTTGGTAGTTTTGTTGTTTTTCTCTTGGGTCTTGTTATTGGTATTTTTTCTTCTTCTTCTTGTTCTTCTTTCTTCACTGTGGGTATATCTTGTATTTCTGTAGTTTTTGATTTGGATCGTGTTACTCTAGCCATCTTTAATTATGCTGATGCTTCTTATATCATAGAGTTCTCCTTTATTTTGCTGTTGTGTTGGATTTAATAACAATATAGTTTTTTTTGTCTTGGGCTTATATGTATTTTTTTAAACTGATCAGAATTTTTTTTTCACTATGGGCGGACTTTATCGGCATATAAGAGTATGGATCACAGAATTACTCTTCTACGTCAAAACATTTTAAATAAAGTTCAAATTGTATTCAAAATAAATAAATCCTATACACGTAAATATTTTAATATAATATAAATAAATAAATCAAAAAATAACACCCAAATCAGCCTTGTTTAGTTTATAATTCATCATGATTTGGAATTTTTTTACCTTTGATTGGAGCTAAATCACCATCAATCAAATCTTTTTCATTAACACCATCAGAAATTGAACTTTTGAAACCTGGAGCATTTTCAAATCCATTAGCACCAGCTTGATAATTCATGAAAACTTCATAAATTTTTTCACGACTTGTTTCAACAAAAGGACCATGTTGAACAATTGGTTGTTCTAATTTTTGACCACCAACAACAACAAATTGTGTTGATTCTTTAGCATCTTGTGGAACCTTACCTTGAACTGAATCACCATCTGTATTGAAGAAAACAGCATTATATTGTTCAATTTTTTCACCATTAATTTCTAACCCACCTTTTAAGACATAAAGGAAAACATTAAAATCTTTTGGAAATTCTTGAGTAAATTCACCACCTGGTGCAACTTCATAATCATAATAATGAACTGGAGTATAAGCTAATTCTTTTAATGATTCTTTACCATAACTTTTACCACTAATAACTTTAACTGTAACTTTATCATTTGGTTTCACAATTGGAATTTCATCTTTTCTTAAATCTCTATAACGAGGATCACAATTTTTTAATTTCTTTGGTAAATCAACCCATAATTGCATACCAGTAGCTGGAGTACCATCATCACAGCCAATTGGGATTTCAGAATGAACAATACCTTTACCAGCAGTCATAAATTGTAAATCACCAGAGTTTAAAACACCTCTTGAACCTGTAAAATCTTCATGAGCAAATCTACCAGTCAACATATAAGTGATTGTTTCTTGACCATGATGAGGATGATCTGGGAATCCAGCAGGTGGTGAAACATTAAAATGATCCAGCATTAAGAAAGGTGTAAAATTTCTAATTTGATAAGTACCAATTGATCTTCTAACTTTTGCACCAACACCTTCTTCTTGAGCAACTGCTAAAAAGTATTTAAGAATTGATCTTGGGGATACCATATTATCTGACATTAATTGTATGTTTGTATGTATGTTTGCTTTGATATTTGCTTGAATATTAATTGTATTAACTCTTTTCAATGTTAATTGATAATAATACTTCCAAATTTGAAAGATTGTTGATGAAAAGTTGGGAATCAGTTTAATTTATACTCATGAATTGACACCAAATTACAATGTATTATTTTTTTGTACCAGAGAACCTCCAGAACTGCAACAGATGAGCTACCGCTTAACTATGTGAAATGGTGCTTGACTATGCACGAATTCCCTGTAGAACTGGGACATTACCTGATCTTTAGTAATTTATTGTTAAGCTGAGCTGAGTATTAATAAGTTCCCAATTGGCTGGGAGAACTGCGAAGAAGAAAAGAAGCAACTTTGACATAATGCTTACCAAGTTTTAGTTATTGTGAAGTAAGCCTATTGTTACTGATAGATTTATATGCTATTGTTAACGGTTATTAATCATTAATCAGGGTAGCTTACCATACTGTTTGTCACTTTTGTAATGAATTAGAAGAGTATAAGTAATGTACCCATATTACAAATCAGAACTTCAGCCCTGCGATGACTCAAATTTAGCTTTAACGGTTGATTACCTGGGCAGAGTCTGAGCTGAAGTCTGATCCCACGTCTTTTCATTGACTCTTATCTTTGAAGTTTAGTGTTTTAGTTCAACAGCTCTTTGACCGTTGATTTTGTCGTTTAATGGAGGCCGGTTCAGGAAATGGCTAAACACCGTGATTATATTTGACACTTCTTAAACCTCTTTAACCATGAATATCTTAACCATTTGAATAGTAAACATAATAATTTAATACCATGGTTCAACTCCTCTCATCTCAAGCTACACACTAGTACCAAAATTGACCCTAATTCCTCAGTCTAAAGTGACTCTTTTCGTGGGGAGCAGTTGATAGTCGTATTTAACACCCATTACTCGGACCTCAGGTGGACAGCTAAAATGAATCATCGCTTCAATTCTTGACACTTTCCATAATCAAGCACACCTTAAATACCACTGTTTGGCACCTCAAGGACTGATCTATAGGACTACGAGAATACTCACTCCACAGTTCCATAAGCACAATCACAATGTCCTTTTTACGTGGAATCAGATTTGCTAGTACTTTTGCTAGACAAGTTTCTAAACCCGTTGCTCTTCGAACTCCAAATGGTTTCAAATATAATCAACCAACTGGTCTTTTCATCAATAATGAGTTCTATGATACCATAAATGATGGTTCTTCTATCAGAGTGGAAAATCCTTCAACTCAAGAAGAAGTAACTAAAGTTTCAAGTGCTATTGATTCAGATGTGAATTTTGCTGTTGAATCTGCTGAAAAAGCTTTTAAAACATGGTCTGTTTCTGATCCTTTATATCGTGCTAAATTATTAAATAACTTGGCTTCAATCATCGAAGCTAACAAAGATGTCATTGCTTCAATTGAATCTATGGATAATGGTAAGACTCTTGCCTTAGCATCTGGTGATGTTGGTCTTGTTATTGATTATATTCGTTCAACTGCTGGTTATTGTGATAAATTAGATGGTAGAACTATTTCCAAAGAGGGTTATATGAATTTCACTTTAAGAGAACCTTTAGGTGTTTGTGGTCAAATCATTCCATGGAATTTCCCATTATTAATGTTGAGTTGGAAAATTGCTCCTGCTTTAGCTACTGGTAATACTGTTGTCTTAAAACCTGCTAGTGATACTCCATTAAATGCATTGTTTTTCGCAAGTTTAGTTAAAGAAGCTGGTTTCCCAGAAGGTGTTGTTAATATCTTACCAGGTAGTGGTGCTAAATGTGGTAATGCCATTTTGAATCATCCAAAGATTAGAAAAATTGCATTCACAGGTTCAACTGCAATTGGTAAAGATGTTATGATCAAGAGTGCTGAATCAAATTTGAAAAAAGTTACATTGGAATTAGGTGGTAAATCACCAAATATTGTATTTGATGATTGTAATTTAGAGAAAACTTTAGAAAATTTAGTTAATGGTATTTTTAAAAATGCTGGTCAAATTTGTTCAAGTGGTTCAAGAATCTATGTCCAAGATACTATTTATGATGAATTATTAACTAAGTTCAAAGCTCATATTGAGAATGAAATTAAAATTGGTGATCCATTCAACTCAAATAATTATCAAGGTGCTATTACAAACAAGAAACAATTTGAAACAATTTTAAGTTATATTGAAATTGGTAAAAAAACTGATGCTAAATTACTTACAGGTGGTGAAAGAATTGGTGAAAAGGGTTATTTCATTCAACCAACTGTGTTTTATGATGTTGATCCATCAAATCAATTATCTCGTGAAGAAATATTTGGTCCAGTTGTTACAATCACTAAATTCTCTACAATTGATCAAGTTATCGAAATGGCTAATGATTCTGAATATGGGTTAGGAGCAGGTATCCAAACTGAAAACTTGAGTAATGCATTAACAGTTGCTAAAAAATTAAAATCTGGTACTGTTTGGATTAATACTTATAATGATTTTGATTACAATGTTCCATTTGGTGGTTATAGACAAAGTGGGTTCGGTAGAGAAATGGGTGTTGAAGCTTTAGATAATTATACTCAAGTCAAAGCTGTTCGTATAAAACTAAATTAAGCACTGTTTCCACAGAATACTTGAAAAATATTTTTGTATATTAGAATATAGAGATTCATAAGATGTTGTCTACTGCATATTTATATAAATTTGTAGCTAAAGTTTTATCATTAGCAATACCAAAATCTAACCCAGGTCCAATCAATGTTAGATCATTATTCTCAGTACCTTTGTAAACAATATCAGTTATAATTTCTTTGTCAACCCATCTAGCATCTTGTAATTCCATATCATGCAATAAATCTAATTCACTTGTATCCACATAAGCAACTGATCCAATCATAATGTTCGCAGGGAATGGCCAAGGTTGACTTTGAATAATTTCAACTCTTTGTACATGAAGACCAGCTTCCTCCCAAACTTCTCTTTTAACCGCATTCTCCACAGTTTCACCAGGTTCAATGAAACCTGCAATACATGAATATAACCCTTGAGGGAATTTAGGTAAACGAGTTAACAAAACTTGTTTATCTTGATTAACAACACATGTGATCAATACAGGATCTAATCTTGGGAAACTTGCATTTGAAACTGGTGCTTCTTTAACAGGACAATGTTTTTCTTTTGTTGATGTACATTTTAATTCTGACCCGGCATTAATTGGAACAACTGATGATCCACAACCTCTACAGAATTGTGTTGTTGATAACCAATCTAAATACATTTTCCCTTGTGCAAATATTGAAGCTTCAAAATTGTTTAAATGTTTGTTCACTTCTTCTCTTGTGACCAATGGTTCAACATTAGGATGATTTGATTCTAATTCTTTGAGGACTTGTGAAGATTTAACAATATCAATTGCAAAATATGGGGTACCATGATATGCCTTATATTGAAACCCTGATTCCCTTGCTGTTTCTAATTTACCATTCTTCTCAGAAAGACCTAAGAAATGTACTAATAATGAAGGACGTGCACCATTTGTAGACAATGGATCATTATTGAAATTTAACCATTGATCAATTTCTTTAGTCAATTGAGGTCCTAATTTATCATAACCTGTAACAAAGAATTTATTAGCCTCTTTATCAGCAATTGGTAATAAGTTGTTGAATAACAGATATTTAGCATCTTTGGATTTGATTGCATTGGTTATGAATTGTTGATCAGATCTTAGGAATGAATGTCTATTTAGAGATGGGTTCCCAAAGTATATGTACTTATCACCCAGTGTTCTGGCTGAAGATAACAGTCTTTTGAAGAGCATTTTCTTGTCAATTCATTAACCCATTAATTGAAGAACAACTGATTATTTGATTTGAATAAATTCAAGGAGGTCATTAAGTTGAGTATAATTGATCTCGGGGTTCGTTGCAGTTACTTAAGCACTGGTGTTGAGGTTTACTAAGCTAAGTAGCTTGGAAGCTGAAAAAATTTGAAAGCTCATTTGAACTTCAACTCTTGTGGCGATATTACGATACTCTTGACGAGTTTTAAACCACTTAGACTTTTAGTATACATGTCTGCTATGTTTTCGTTTGTTGGCACGTATGATATTGGTACAAATTTTACATATGATTATCCATAATTTTAATAGGGACATAGTCATATCCAATTAAATGAATTGAGCATCACAAACACTGTTATAGCATTAACCACAGGAGCTGAATCTTGTATTCTTCTTTTGGTATGCAATTGCTGAGGATTAATACTCGTTTTGATACACAAGTCGATACTATTATTATATATGGATTAAATTTTCCTTAAGATTAAACGCTACTTGACACTTGTGGATTCTGAAATTACGGTCCCAGTGCATCAAAATTAAGCGTTAATATACACTGTTTTTTGAATTAATATAGCAATGTAGAGTCGACACGTATATTCTTAGTAACTTCTATATAGTCCTCTATATATGATTATAGCTTAAATGATCTTACAGTGAATATGTATATATAAGTTATAAAAACAAATATATATTCAATATATACCAGTACATAGTAGAATATAGCAGAATCAAAATCAATATTCTATAAGTAATAAAAATAGCAATTCAAACATTTGAAATAAACTGAACTGAAGTATCTGACTTTTTTTAAGGGTTTTGTATCAAAATATAACGAAATATCAAAATCAATATAAGAAAACAAGTATCAACAACTAAATTAATCTGAACGTAATCTTAAACGAAGACCAGCTGGAATTTTGGTTTTTAAAATCTTATTTACGACCATCACCTGGTTGATCATTTGATTTATCTTTATCATCGTGATCATCTTTATCATTGTCATCATCTTCTTTGTCGTTTTCTTCATCTTCTTTGTCATTTTCTTCATCTTCCTTGTCACTTTCAGATTTTGTAGCTGTAGCAGAAGCACTTGATGATGAAGATGAGGTAGCAGCAGCGCCGGAAGCACTTGATGATGGTTTGTCATCGTCCTTGTCATCGTCCTTGTCATTATCTTTGTCATGATCTTTATCGTCGTCTTTATCATCGTCTTTATCATCGTCCTTGTCATCGTCCTTGTCGTCGTCCTTGTCATCGTCCTTGTCATCATCGTTGTCATTGTCATCATCTCTCTTGACTGAACGCTTCTTCTTACCATCGTTGTCATTATCGTCATCTTTATCGTCATCTTTATCGTCATCTTTATCATCATCTTTATCATCATCTTTATCATCATCTTTATCATCATCATCGTCATTGTCACCACTCTTAGTAGCAGAAGCAGAAGATGAAGCACTTGAAGATGAGGTAGCGGCAGCACCGGAAGCACTTGATGATGGTTTATCATCGTCATCATCCTTGTCATTGTCGTTGTCATTGTCATCATCTTTATCATCGTCTTTGTCATCATCATTATCTTTATCTTTATCGTCATCATCTTTATCATTATCGTCATCATGATCTGAACCTCTTTTTTCATTGGAATGATCATGTTCATGTTTATGCTCATGTTCTTCTCTTGAAACTAAACCTTTTGATGGAAGTGGTGGGATTGAAATACCAGATGATGGAATGACAATACTTTGTGATGGAATTAAACCTGAAGCAGCATATTCTAAATCAGTTGGAATAGCAGCACCATTTGCTAAGATTGCAAATAAGATTGAATGTAAAACAGCTTGTGAAAAAATCATTTTGATTGTATAAAATAGATTGTATAGATTGAAAGTAGTGATAATTCGAGTTTGAGTTATCTAATGATTAAATCCTAACCTCAAATATCGTTGAATAATGATGATTTCATGTCTTATTTATATTAATCACGTTTGTTAATAAGAAACGCATTAACCATTTACTATACCATCTTTAAGTTGGTTTAAGTATAACTATCATAATGTCTCTGTGCGTCTTACTTTTAGAAGCAAAGTTTATGCATCAGCTAGCAGTGCCATAGAATGCAATTGGTTTAAGGGTTTCCTGACCCTTCAAAATCTGTCAAAAGCTGTTGAGGCAAAGCTGTCATTATTGATTGCATACCTTCTCTAACATATCAACAACATATGTAAACCTATTATTAGAATCACAAATCAAGTGGTACCCAGAATTTCATAAATGGTTATTGAAACTCATTAGTGGTCGAACTGAAGTAGATTCTGGCACAAATGTTGATCTTCGTTTCAGTTCATTTTCCACCATTCACATCAATTCAATTCTCAAGAGCACTGAGTACGTATTAGTAATTTCAATCCTAACTGACACCTTACTTGTTACCCCTTACCAGATTCCACGTTTACCGTTGTTCCAAAATGCATTTTGTGTGTGTCAATTATATCAGGGACCATGGGGTTCAAAGCGTTCCAAAGTTCCATATCACGTCTCTTCATGTCTAGTACAACGCCGACATGCAAATCATTAACTAGCCTGTTGAAACTTGAAGGTAGTATGCCAGTCCATATGTTCTCTTTTAAAATCACCTGGCTTCCCGAGGAATGATCTATTCAATTAGATCTCAGGGGTTTTATGATTTGTGATCACTGAATTGAATCTTTGATCTAATTGAATCTTAGCTTGGAACTTTTTTTAGCACACAGGCCGTTGCTTTATAGCCACGATTGATCTATTAATAAAAGATCAGAGGTCAGGTCGATGTTAATAAGTTGAGGGTCTATGCCTTAGAGTTCACCAAAGAGGTACCAGTATCATGATATTCAGCATCATGCTGTCTTCTCAATTCAAGTTAAAAATAAACATCTGTAGTTCATTGTTTATTGATTAATTAAATTGAATTAATGCTTATGTTTGTTTTCATGATTATTAAGCATTTATTAATCTTTTCTACCGAATCCTATTTTATCATAGTCATTGCGTAATTACAAATTGTAGTCTACTACGTTTTAATTGAACTTAAGCATTCACGGCAATAGCTTACTCCGTTGTGACCTTTGGTTCCAGTTATCTTGCACATTGCAGGTGAGTCGCAGCAACTGTTATTATATTGGCGTATACATATTGTAACTCTTTATCAGTTCAGTTTTCTTATTTGATACTTGTGTGAGAAGCCTGAAACTTGAAATCAACTTTCTGAAATTGTATTCATGGGCTTTGTTAAAGTTTAAATATTAAATATTGAATGAATCGTATATAATACACATGATAAGCTGATGGATAGTGTGGATTTTGAATCATTTGATTCTTATAAGTCCCCTATTCGATTGAGACTTGTTTGATAACTTTTCATAATTGAGATGTAGAGATGTAGATGACAATTAAGTATATGATTCACCAAAATAATCAAAGTTCTCATCCAATTTTATTAGTACAGCTTAGAAATGAAACTTATAATTCAGCTGTTGAGTCGACCATATTAGGCGCAAATTTGGTAATGATTAATCGAAACAAATATTTAATTACACATCGTAAGTAGCAATTCAACAGAAAACTAGCTGGCTTTATACACAATATTTTGATACTAAGTCACTGAGTACGACATCATATCCTGCATCTAAAGGAGCCATATTATATTTGAATTTAAAGTGTCTGTCGAAGAATTATATTATGGTAGATATCCGGTACATCAATATCTGGAGTAAATCACCAATATCTGTGACCGATATATATAGAGAATATTCTTATCGTTAACGTGCCATCTAAACTTGAAACTCATCAATCACTTAGCCCGTGTGTTGTACATCTTGATAAAGTTAATCAATGACTCTGTGGATTCTAGACTTGATGTTGTCTCTCAGCTTGGCTTCTTGATCCAATGGGTATGGTGATTGAAGCAAAACACTGTATGTCTCGGTACATTCACACCCAGAACCACATTTAGTCGAGCTCATTATAGAATTAATTGGACATTCCAGCCTCTGGCTGTTTCCTATTGATCGTTTTCTAGTTGCAGTTTGGTGTTGTTGTTTACAGATTACAATTTTATTACAATTTTATGTATGGTTCGTGAAAAAAAAAAGTGAAAGTGAAGAAAAATTGTTCATCGAATGAGAACCTTTTATTCGGTTGTGCTACATTGATAGAATTCTAAATATTGCAGGTGAACTTTTTAGTCCAAACAGCATACGTTTTAGCTTAAATGGTCCGATTGGGGTAGAAATTCCTAAAAGAAGTATTTGATAGCTTGTTATTCATTTATATATAAACGCTATGTTACAACCTATTGTTAATACTAACTCACCATGTTCATAATTATCATAGCGTAGGATTTGATTAAGTTTCCAAGTCTCCTATAGATTTTCTAATGAATATAATCTGTCTTTTTCATTGATAGTGTAGTTAAAAGCTGATATCCATTGTGATAGGTTTACCTATTGTGATACTACGAACTACGATGCTATAATGACCACTATCAAAAGGTCAAGGGTTTCTACTCAATAATGTAGTGTCTCTATGCTTGTAAAATGTTGGCCTATGTGATAATTGATATCTGTTGATTGATCAATCACAACATTAGATAGGAGTATTCTGGATAACTTTGAGGTCCATAGAGAACTACACACTAATTTATCGATTAATCCAGTAGTACTAAGTTGAGTATAAATGTCTATATCTATGATTAGCTATCTATTCAAATCAAAATATTTATATTCTTTTGGAACGTAAATCCATAAAGTGTAAACTCTTCAAGTTGTGGACAAATCTTGAAAAATCTTCTAGCATCTTTACCAAATAAATAAAGAAATTCTTCTTTGAAAAACAATGTATCTTTATGATTTTTGCCAAATTTATCAATTTCATTATCAGGATTATAGCTATCCACAGTAGTTGTTATTAAAAAATGATTTGTAAGTTTTTTTGAACATGCTTCATAATAATCATTTAATATCTTTAGATTTAAATGTTTATGAAATTTTCTGTATATTCTTGCATTCAAAATTTTGGAATATATTTTGGATATCCATTGTGTTTCATGATATGTTAGATTCTTCAATGTCATTCTTACAGGTGATTGCTTGATCATTCTATAAATATGTTTCAATCTAGTTTCCTGGGGTCCAAAGATAATAAGCTCCTCTAGATTTGGGGTTTTCTGGAAGAAATCTGGTAGCTGTGAATTAAATTTCAAATAAGGATTTTCGTTGATATAAACTTCTTCAATATATCCTAGATATGGATTGACAAAGAACACCAATTTCTTTAAATTTTCATAAATTTGAGGTACCGTTGAATGGTTTGTGAAGAAATTCATCAATGATGGATATCCAGTATCTTCAAGAAACTCGAGCAATTCATTATCATCAAGTGGGAAATCATCCTCTGGAAACGCGGGATCAAATATGTAACAATCTTGGGTGACATTTCTAATATCTAGTTCTTCAAGTTTATGCATATTTGGAATAACAGAACTGAGCTCATTTTGAAATGATCCGTTATTATCTTGAAAAATACTTTTAGTGAATCCCATATTAACAATTGATAATTTTTTCAAGTTTAATAGCTTTATATCCTTTTGAAATAATGCTGAAACAAAAGTTGATAAGAATTCAGAGCGCTTGATGTCATTCTCAAATTGAGGGTATTGAAAATAGGCATTTCTCAACCCATACAATGTATCCTTTAGGTTATCAGAATTGAATTTCCAAGCTTCATTTATGTATACTTCTTTTTGAATAGATCTCCCACGTCTATCCATCGCACCATACTTGGAAACCAAATCATCAAAAATTTCATCATGATCATCTTCATTTTCACCTTCTTCGTCAGCTTCATCATCTGAGCGATCATAAAACGGTTCATTATCACTTGCATAATCCAAATTATTCGAAGTATAGTAAGGTTTAAGGTTCTGACAACGACCCAACGCTGCACTTTTAAAGCCTGATATATATGATTGCATAAGGTCAGATCCATTATCTTTCAGTCCCTGAAAATTCTTTCTGGTTTTCATATCATGTGAGCGAAATGATCCATTCAACTCTAGTTCCTCTAAATTTGTATTATTTGTTGATCCATTAGAAATCAACAGTTCTGCGACCATTAATAGTCTTTCAATGCTTGCTTTTGATCTATAGACCTTATTATCTATGGGTAGCGTGTATAGTTTCAAGACCTTCAAATTTGGTAGCTCAACATTGTAACGTGATATTCCATATGTATTATTACCTTCAATACAGATTGAAATTTTTTGTAAGTTTGAAAGGATGTGATTATTGAGTTGAAAGAGCTTTTCTAGTGGTAGTCTGGGTGCAATGAACACTTCAAGATCCATAAAACTGCTTAGAACATCATTCCAAACATTTCTCATGTATTTTTTAAATCTCATCTCTGACATCATTGAATAAATAGTGCTAACTCCTGGATCCTTTTCGAAGTGTTCATAAGTTATGATTTCTTCAACGTATTTAGCCAAATCTGGATTCACACCTTGTTTTCTATTATTGTGAAACATTTCGAAAAACTTTAGAATCTTACCACCAGATAGCATCATGATTCCACTAGATACCATGGTGATTTTTTTCTTTTCAGCCAATTCCTTCAAATCATACATTGGATATTCAGAAAGAATAATTTTTCTGTATAATCTAGCTTTACATGATCTTTCAAAATGTGAGTTTGAATATAGCAACGAAAGTGTATCCTTTTGTGACAAATGACGTGTTATTCTTCTTAGACATTCATTTGGTAGTGATAATATGGTTGTTTTGGTTCTTTTGATATGCTTTGATTGTTCTTCATCTTGATCTAGTGGTCTCTTTGGGGGCCTAGAAGCATCTGTTTGCCCATCATTCATAACTTTCAGTAGATCTGTACCGGTTTGTGTAGCAATTACCAGTTCGATTATTTCAAATGAGCGGTCAATTGAAGTTTGTTTGCATCATTGTTCGAATGGATGTTAATGTTCATTGTTAATAATTATAACGCGTTTTGATGTTGCTTAAGTAATTTCAATTTTGCGTGAAGCTGCTGCTAGCAAAAATTTGGTGTCAAAGAAATAAGGAGTTTTCAACTTTTCACATATATGATCAAAATTTTAAAGCTGTGTTATTTCATTTAAGTGTGGGAAAGTATTTTGGAAATATTTTTACTAGATCCCTGGTGCAGTTGAAAACTAGCTGGCAGTCCTGGATTGATAAAATTTCTTGCAGGGTACTTCCTGGTATGTCATGGTGATCACTTTCATACGAATAAGTTAATGGCTTTACGAATGCCAAACAACTATTCTTGGATTTTAATACTAACCCATCATGTTCATCAATATTATAGCGTGGACTTGATTAAGTTTACAAGCTCCCTATATATATTACTATTTTGAATATAATTACCCATTTTGACAACAATTCAGTGTAGTAAATATCGATTCTGATACAATTATATGTACGTTATAGCCATTAGATATTCAAGTACTGATCTATAAATTCTATATAATCAAACGAAAATGTTTTTATTTCTTTCAAAAGTAAATCCATGAATAGTAAACTCTTCAAGCTTTGGACAAATCTTGAAAAACCTTCTAGCATCATCACCAAACAAATAAAGAAATTCTTCTTTGAAAAACAATGTATCTTCATGATTCTTACACAAGGTATCAAGTTCATCAGCAGCACCTGAATTTTCCATTGTTGCAATCAGACGGAAATGTCTAGCAATTTTATTAGAACATTCTAAATAATATTCATTCAATAAGTGTAAATTTGAATGCTTAGTGAATTTTCTGTATAATCTTGCATTTAAGATTCTACTAGCTATTTTAGAACCCCATTGTGGTTCATAATATGTCATTTTTTTTAAATTCAGTTTGACAGTTGATATATTAATGATTCCATAAACATGTTTCAATTTTGTTTGTTGGGGTGCATTAATGAATAATTCTTCTAAATTTGGTGTTTTATAAAAGAAATCTGGAAGTTGTAAATGAAAATTAAAATATGGGTTATGTGGATATTTAAATAAAGTCAGATCTCCTAGGTATGGATTAACGTAAAACACAAGTTTCTTCATATTTTCATAAACCGGTGGTGTATTTGGATGATTTGTGAAAAAATTGATCAATGATGGAAAGTCCGCCGCATAATAATCACCTATTTCTTCATCAATATCTATAAAATCACGCTCTGTTGGGTCAAACATAAGACTATCATGAGCAACATTCTTAATATCTAATTGTTGAAGTTTATGAAAATTTGGTATGACTTTACTTAATCTGTTTTGAAAAGCTGGTGTAAAATCTTCGAAAAGATATTTTCCAAATCTCATATTAACAATTGATAATCTTTTCAAATTTAAAAGTTTAATATTCTTTTCAAATAAGGCAAATATGAAATATGAAAAAAATTCAGATTCTGGGAGTTCTGTTGGATGTTTATGATATTGGAGATTAACATTTCTCGAACCAGCTAGTTGATTGTTATCAAAAAAGTATGGGTCTAAACGGAGATTTTCTCCCTCATATGACACTCTCATTATAGAATTTCCTTCTAAGTCTTTCTCACGATATTTATTGACTAATTTTTTGAAAATTTCATCATTATTTTTATCTTCATCTTCTTCATTATCATCATCTTCATCTTCTTCATTATCATCATCCTCATCTTCTTCATTATCATCATCCTCATCTTCTTCCCCATCAGTATGGAAGTGAATTTCACCATTTTCACTTTCATTATCCAATTCATTTGAACAATAAGGAGGTTTAGCATTAGGATTATCCGAAATTGCATTTCTAAAACCTGATGCATAAGATTGAAACGAATGTGAGTTTCTGTTTGTTAATTGACTTTCTAATACGGAACGATAACTTTCAAGATCATCTGAACCAAATGATGCATTTAGTTCCAACTCTTCTAAAGTTGTATTATTTGTTGATCTATTTATAATGAACAATTTGGCCAGAACTAAGAGTTTTTCAAAACCAGTGATGGTATCAAGGTTAGGATGTCGTGGAGGCCTTGAACCCTTTCTTGAAGGAATATTAAGTTTTAAACTTTTAAGTTGTGGTAATTCTAGATCTTGGTCTGATGTCCAGGACAAATCATTTTCAATTGATATTGAAAGTTTTTGTAAATTTGATGTGATATGTTTGCTAAATTCAAAAACCTTATGTAGTGATAATTTAGGTCCAATGAAAACTTTCAAGTTAATAAAGCTGTTTAAAACATCATCCCAAACTAATTTCAAGTAATTCATGGTTTCCTCTAATGACTTTGAACGAAACCAAATATTTTCTAATAGATCTCTCTCCAGAAAGTCATAAGTTATTATTTCTTGAACATATTTTGCCAGTCCTGGATTTTTACCTTGTACTAAGTTTGTATGAAACATTTGGAAAAACTTTTTGATATTATCAAAGCCTGTCAATACGATAAATTGTTTTTGTTCAACCAATTTAGCAAAATAATAATCAGAACGATCTAATGATTTTTCACAGATGATTATACTTCTGTATAGTCTAACTTTACATGCTCTTTCAAAATGTGAATTTGAATATAACAATGAAAGTGTATCTTTTTGTGATAAATGACAAGTTATTCTTCTTAAACATTCATCTGGTAATGATAATATGGTTGTTTTGGTTCTTTTGTTTTGACTTGAATGTCCTTCATCTTGATCTAGTGATCTCTTCTGAGACCTGTTGGTTTCCTGGCTAGAGTTCATTGAAATGTATCCTTCAGTATATATTAATCAGATCTTTCCAGTCCCTAAGTGAAGTCTCCTCAAATGAAAGTCTATCGATGTTTTTGGATATTGTTACTTGTTTATTATATACTACATGTTGGTTGATGTTACATAATTTAAAAAAAACGATCCCGCTGTGTGAAGAAAATTGAAAATATTCTGAAACATGTTGATATGTTGATGTTTTGTATACTTTGCTAAAATTTTTGAATGGAACACCTACGGATTCTAATTCATTCATGATCTTGGTTAGGTTTTCCACTATCCCAGGACTACTTTTCAGACCAAACAGCATTTTTTTTATTTTTTTTAAACGGTAAGGACCTTTGTGGTGTTGTTAGTCTATAAATCGAAGTGTTTGACAGTGTGTTGTTTGTTAATATTTTAATGCAACTATAATCTTCACCTCTAAATCATCAAAATGTTCATAATTATCATAGCGTGGGTTTGATTAAGTTTACAAGCCTCCTATAGCTAGTTTAATGAATAATATCTCTCTTTTTCTCAAATAACATTGTAGAAACTACAAGTAGTCGATATAAAATTAATAATAGTTCGGTTTGAAGTATTACATCATTTTGAAGTACTAGGATTTAATTAGTAGTTAAAAGTAGATCGATAATTCATAGTAATTTATGAAATCAGTATTAAATATACGTCATTCGATATGAGCTATAATATGTATGTGACTCTTGCTTCATTATATACATGTCGATTTCTTGAGATATTGATGTAATTTACTATACTAGTTTCTTATATAATCTATTATGTAATCTGAGCTACAAATTTCATATCCAGCTTAAATTTAATAAGGGGTCAATCAACCTACAATTAACATCTCATATTAAAAATTATTGATGCTTCATAACACAAAGATGAATTTCTATTAGGAATTGCAGGAATTAATTGTTTAAAATCGCCGCACAGGAATACAGTGAATTCACCGAATAGTTTATTATTTGACTTTGCACATGGATACAGCTCAATCAACACAACTGCATAGCTATAAATTCAATTTTATTTGGATCCTTAATCTTAGCATAGTTTGACTAGTATGGATCAATAATCGATGTTTTGAAAGGTTCAAATACTTAATAGTGAATTTGATTTAATACATGACAAGCTGATGATTATTGTGGACCTGAATATTAAATTCTGATGGTTCCGTATTCATTCAAGACTTGTATGAACAATATTTTACAAAATTACTTGCAAAGTTTTGTAGATTTGATATTTCTAGTATATATCTTAACCATTCATCTATTAATACAGCAATCTTGAGAAGTTGGGAATTTAGCTAAATATGATCTAGAGTTTGTTAAAATAGCTGGCGCTTCGGATTTGTGTTTTTGTTTTTATTTTTGTGTCAAAGATTGGAAAATTGTTGAAGATATTGAATTTTTATAAAAATTCATTCATTGTTTACTGCTGCTTATTGAATCAACTAGATTTTGAAAACATCAAATTACAATATTAAAGTCAAGAGTCAATAGATATTTTAAAAGATGTTGTTCTTGCATGTCATTTTATTAGGTGGTGCTTTGTTGAGACAAGTTTATGGTGCTGATATGATTTCATCAACTGAAAGTAATGAATGTGGTGCCAATGTGAATTTAAACCCAAAGAATATTTGTGGACGTGAAGAATTGGAAGCATTAAATAATTGTGCGGGTGAAGCTTTACCCAAATTAGATAAATGTGTACCACGCGATCCAGCTTGTGAATGTTGTGCATTACAAAGTATGAAACGTGATTGTTATGGGTTATGTCTAGATAATCCACATGGTGAATTCTTTAATACTATGTATGATGCTTGTGAAACGTACACTAAGGCTAGGGGTGTTGATCCATGTGATTTACCATTTAAAAAATATGATTCTGATACTACCAATCTTTTTGATTTTATATTACAATCAACACTTAAGAAATTGAATCAAATAGTTCAAAAGTTTCACCAATTATTACAAGGTTAATTTTAGATTAATTAAAATTAGAATGCAAATAACATTTAAATCATGACCATTTCCAATGGCTTATCATACATTAAATGGCACTAAATTATAAATCATTATTATTCTACAAATTTATCAAATCCTTCATTTCCTTTTGAAAGCCCAGGTGCTCATTTAATTAAAACTTCATTTACTCAATATATTGTACAAACAATTTTTGAAAAAAATACGTGTTGGTGTTTTATTGTCATTGTGTTTTTGTTATAGTTCAAAACAAGGGGTTAATATGGGTCGTTCGATAAATTTATTTTGTGCTGTGTGCTGCATATATTGCATTTGAATTAAAAAGGTGGGTCTGATTAAATTACAATGATTTTGCATTCATCCAAGACTTGTATGAACAAAATTTAATTACAACTTTACGTCTTGCAAAGTTTTGTAGAATTTCCACATTTTTATACAAAATGACTAGAAAAGTTTTGTAGAATTCACATTTTTAATATTATATAGATCGTAATTATTCATATCATTCAATTGGGAATTGCTAGGAATTTTTTAGCTTATATGATCTATAATTTGTTGAAATAGGCGCTTCAGATTTGTTTTTTGGTTTTGTGTCAAAGATTTGAAAATTATCGAGCATGCAAAAGGGATACTGCATTTGCAAGATGGCTTTTTATAGAAATTCATTCAAATTAAGTTCACTACTGCTGATAGAATCAACTAGATTCTGAAAACATCAAATTACAATATTATAGTCAAAAGTCAATAGGTATACTAAAGATGTTGTTCTTACATGTTATTTTATTAAGTGGTGCTTTGTTGAGGCAAGTTTATGGTGTTGATTTGGTTTCATCAACTGAAAGTATTAATGAATTTGATGCTCATGTGAACTCAAATCCAAAGAATATTTGTGAAGGTGAAGAATTGGATGCATTAGCTACATGTGCAACTAAATATTTAGCCAAGTTAGATGAATGTAAACCAGATGATCAAGCTTGTGAATGTTGTGCAGTGCAAAGCATGAATCGTGATTGTTATGGGTTATGTCCAAATACTGAATCAGGTAATTTCCTTGCTGGTTTATATGATAATTGTGAAACTTACACTATGGCTAAGGGTGTTGATCCATGTAATTTACCATTTAAAAAATATGATTCACGTATTGCCAAATTTTTAAGACCAAATGCAAATATCCTGGTTCAAGATCAAGAACTTGATATTTTACAATCAAAACTTAAAAGAATTAATCAAATAATTCAATGCAGATTCGTCAATCATTACTCTCAATTTTTCAGTATTTAGTGAACAACATTTAGAAGATTATTAATTCCCATGCCTCATCATACATGTTGAATGGTGTTAGTTATAAATCATTATTATTCTACAAATTTATCAAATTCTTCATTCCCTTTTGAAAGTTCAGGTGCTCAAATTGAAAGTTCAATTTCTCAATATATTGTATAAACTATTTATAAAAAGAATGTGTTGGTGTTATATTGGCATTATGGTTTTGTTCTTGTTAAAAAGAAGCTCAAGATTAAATACTGAAGCGTTAATATGATTGTAATCATAAGCCATGGTTGTGTTTCTGGCATACATTTAGTCCCAATTATCTCTGTAGAAGAATTAATGAAAGCTAACCAGTATTGTAAATTGTGTAAATTATAAGTACATACAGTATCTTTGATCTCTTACTTATTTCGTTTTGAAATAATTTACATTAAATAGCACATCAATGAATGCAAGCTATGATTGTGTTGTTAAACACAAATTTGTGATTCAATTAATTATTTTCTACAGGTTAGCTTGTGTATCTGTGAATCTGAAAATTATTATTAGTCATTAGTTATTAAGTAAATTAAAGTATTATTATATATGGACCAAAAGATGGTATCTATTCATTCTTGCATTTTATATTCAGAAGCAGATGATCCATCAACTTCAGGTTCTGGTAATGCATTAGCTTTTAAAGCATCTGGTTTATAAAATCTTAAATCAATTCTACCAAAAATATAAACTAAATTGATTAAAGTTTCTAAAGCACCATACATCACATACATAACAACAGGTTTAAAAATCCATGATTCTTCATAAACATATTGTTCAATAAAAGTTGAAGCACAACGGAAACAATCTGCGATTAAAACTAATAAAGTTGAAAATGCAATGATATAAATTGATGTATTTTGAGTTAATGATTTTGAGTTTTCATCTTGAATAACTTGATCTTGTGTAGTATCATAATGATAACTTGTTGAATGGATAACTCTAATAGCATGGGCTTTTGATGATGGAATTGATTTAGCTTCTTGAGCAGCTGAACCTTTTGGAACAAAATATTTAACATTGAAAGATTTAATCCAATGTGGTTGATAAGTTAAAATCTCTTTATCAGAATTTGAAGGTTTGATAATAAAAGCAGCCAAGATTAATAACACGGATAATGATGAATATAATAAAATTAAAACTGAAGTAGCTTGGAAAATTTGTTGAGTCATATGTAAATGATGTTCACTAATAAAGAAATTAATACGAACACAAGCAGCAATAATAGTCATAACAACAACAGCAATAACAAATGAATAAATGATATACATCAATGTTGTGAAATATTTGGAACTTCCATAAACTGGATGTCTCCATGTGAAAATTCTTTGAGCAAGGATTAAATTCAAACTTGGTAAGAAAACTGTTGGTAATGTTAAGAAAATCATTGAAACTAAACCAAGTGTAATTTGAGTAATATCAGAACTCCAAATAATTCTCAAAAGGAAACCTAAAGCACGAATTAAAGAATAAACAAATAATCCAAAACTGATATAGAATCTATGACCTAATGAAAAATTCTTTAAGAAAATTAATAAATGAACAATAGCGAAAAGGAAGAAAATAACTGTGAAAATAGTTGATGGTGCAATATCTTTTGATGATGGATAATCACCAAATTCTGCAATTTGATAACCATGAACCAAATTAGTTAAACGATCTGGAATTTCAACGTTTTTAGCAACACCACCATAAAAGCCACCTAATAGATCTTTTGCAGTATCTAATAATTTTTTAGTACCAGTACCTAAAGCTGCACCTTTTGATAAAATACTGAAAACACCTAATAATTGTTGATTTGTGAAAACATTTTGTAATTTATCAATTAAAGTTTTAATTAAACTTTCACCGACTGATTTATATTGAGTTGCTTGTTCAACACTTGTAGAATTAGCAGCAGCTTTAAATAAATTAGTTGTCACATTTTGGAAATTATGCAAAACAGTAACTAATTGAACTGGTGTCATTTGTTGCATCATTGTAGTAACAACTGATGAATTTGAACTTAAAACACCTTGAATTTGTGTAACATTTAAAACAGATAAAACTTTTGGAATATCAACTTCTGAAGTGTTTAAACCTGATTTTTGAAAAACACCAATGGTATCAATGATTTGAGTAGCATTCATAGGCTTCAATAAAGAGCCAATTGTAGCAGCATCCATATTGAATTGATTGATTTTTTGAAGGGTGCTATATTAAATTCTCTTAGGAATATTCACAATAAAATTTCAAAAAGTGCCAATTATTCCCATTATATAAAGGTCCTTAATATTTCCATTTCAGATTTTTAATCTTTAAGGGTCTGTTGAATTTTTTTCCAAAAACATATACAGATATGCATCTTTGTTAAACTAAATTTTCTTTACCTGCTTTCGTTTACATGATTTCCATGATGCTCAACAAATTTCGTACATGACAGATTTCTTGACTAGGAATAATTTTTCAAGGCACACGATGAATTTGTGATTAAATTCTCCATTTTCATTCAATCATGTTCAAAATTCATATCCCGGTGATTCTTTTTAGTTGAACGGCTTTCCAACCTGCATATAAATTCCCAAATTTGGTTCGTGAAGTGGAAAATTTTGCACCAAAACCACCAAACAATAATACTCAACTGCATGGATTTGAGCTTTCAAACATGAACTGTTTAACAGTCGTTGACAAAATGAGGTTGGTTGAAGCAGCTGATATGTGAATGGATGATGGAATAGAAAATTGTTGGGTAAATTTGATAGTATTTTAATTTATCTTCATGTTGAAAATATAGGGTTCAAACTTCAAACTTCAGAAATTTTGAAAACCTGACACCTTGACATTTGACACCATTCTGTTGAAGATCATCTGGGTGGTCTGAAAAGCAGTGACTTATCACAGGTGATCCTCCATGAAAACACCTTTCGAAGCTCTCTGAAGAACCAAAATCCAACAATTAACTCCCAGATGTCAAACCTCTTAAACCATGTAGTATCAACTGATCTCTGTGCCCTAGAACTGGTACGCCAAATCAAGCTCAGTTTAAGATCTGGCACAATAGTAAATACAAATATGTTCCCAGTGTATCATAAGATGATTGTCATTGAGTATTCAACAAAGACCGGCAAATGAAGAAAGAATTGTTTCTATTATTTCATTTCGATTTTGTTAACCGCCAGAGGCTCAAAATTCAAATTCCTTTACGAAGTATAGCTTTTTCAAAAAATTCGCGACTGACAATGGCAAAAAAATTGTGTTTTGTTATTCTTTATTACTACGATTACGATACTATGATCTATGATAAGAGCGTCCAAAAATGTTTTGAAAAACCTTACCTACTATGACTAAATCATCAGGTTATTATTACCAAATCATCCATGTATGTTCCTAAAAAATCGGTGAAATTCTCAGGTGCGTTTGTCAGTCCAAAAGGCATTACGTTCCATTCATAATTGTCCGGTGTTGGTTTGATTTTATATAGCTTGTAAGTGGTGAAGAATAAAAATGTTTCATATACAGCTATTTCATATATTCAACATACACAAATGTTCATAGTTAACATAGTGTGGATTTGATTAAGTTTACAAGTCCCCTATTATACTTTAATGAATGTTTTGATCCATTTTTCCAATAACATATAGCGTAGTATTCTACATTCCATGCTCGATTGCCATATGACATATGACCTCACAATTATATATTATTAATGCTTGTTGTTTTATGTAACTCTATACTATATTATCCATCTGACTTGTGACTTTAAGATTATCTAATTCAGTTATATTATCATCAGAGTTATCATCTTCAACATCTTTAGTTGATTGATCGACTGATCCATTACTTTCTTCTAAAGTATCATATTTAACACCTCTCCAAATGAATATAGCTCCAATAGCTATTATTAGAGGAGCACAATATTCAATTTTATTCATGAACACTGAAAGTACATCATATTTAGCATCATCTTCTAAAGTCAAAATAATTTTCAATTGATAATATGGTAATTTTGAAGTTTCATTAATACTATCACCAATTCTAAAACTTTGTCTGAAAACATTCACAGATTCATAAATAAAACTGATTAGCCATAACCCAATAGTGGTGAAGATCGCTAATCTTCTTGTCTTTTGAAACTTTAATTTATAATTCAAATCTAGTTTACTATCATTCAATGGTATTTTAGAAACTGCAAATGTGATTCCTAAAATTAAAAGTCCACTAGGATATCTTAAGCTTTCAACAACAGGTATTTTGAATTGTTCAGACTCTTTTATAAATGTTCCAAACGGATATAATACAATTAAACCGATATAGACTTTAAAAAGTTTATCATTTTTAATCTCTGATACTGATCTAGAATTCATACAAGCTGCATAAAGATGAGTTAATCCCATAAATGTAATTGAAAAATTCATTAGTAAAAGACCATTTATGATAAGCCCCATGTAAAATTCATTCACTTTATTAACTTTATCATACCCTTCTTTTAACATCAAAACCAAGTATTGATTTATATAAACTGGTAAAAATGATAATGACGTAAGGAAAATATTAAGCATTGTTGAAGGTAGATATTGATGTTTTGTAGAATTTCTTTGATCTTTCATTTTCTTTGATATGAATAGCATTAATAACCCAATACTAAAAAAATTGATATAGTATAAAATATCCTTGAAAATATGTTGTTCAAGTGTTATAAAACCAAAAGGTTGTGAATGGTTTATTTTCAATTGTGGTTTACGGGATTCATGATAACCAATAGCGCAAAACACACCAGGTTTCTCAATTGGATAATGGAAAGTTTCACCAACTTTAATAACTTTATTCACAATTGTATCATTTAATTCAAGATCTTTATCAATTGTTAATGTAAATCCTTCCTCAGTTGTACATTCACCAGAGTTTATTAGATCTTGTGTACATAGTTTCATATCTCCATTTTGGAAATCATACCTATCATTAAAATCAAATGGAATATTTGTCTTTGGTAAATCTGTTATATGAAATAATAAAACATGTGTATCTTGATGGACATTTTTTATATCTATACTTGGTTGATGTTTATCACTTAGTTTTGGGTCTGCAATTGGTTGACATCTTTTGAATGTTCTATCAGCTAACGAATAGCCCAATAACCCTAGTATCAATAGTGAGAGTTTCATATTTTGTGAGCGAATTGGCTATTTATCTACTGTTTCAATCAAAAGAATAAAGCCAAGATTAGGTTCTCTTTTCTTTAAATTGAGATTTGCATCTTGTTAAGGCATTTACGGGAAGAAAAAAAAAAAAAACCTTCACGAATTCTTTACAAATTATTTGTTTCCATTTTCTTTATTTCTTCATAGGATGTTTTGAAAAGACAAGTGTCATGAGCTCGGGCCTTACATCCTGATATTATCTTTGAATATACTATATTGAAATCACACGCGGCCATGATGTTAAAACCTGTTGTTATACAATATTGAGGACTCGAATTATTGTTGTTTTCCTGTTAAGATATTGTTCAAATCATACGCGTATGATCTATACGTCGGATTGCACTTTATTCGAGATCCATTCAAATCAACTTATAAAAGATCAAATTGATACTTTTTAGTTGTGTTTTACATGCTTAAATACATGTTCATACGAAGTTATGTTAATCTTGATGAATTCTGAATAAGAATTCTCAAATTAATTATGCTTTGATTGATTTTTTCATCCAATTGATTATTGATATTTGTAGACCATATAATGTGGACTTTTATTGATCAAAAGCTTTCTATATGTGTATGAGAGTCTATGTAGAACATCATCTTAAAGATTGATCTTATAATCACCAACGCGTTATCTGATTAGCATTCTTCATCTGTAATTAAGTTGCAGAGTCATTGACTATACCAGTCCCCAGAGGCTAGAGGCTGGCGGCTACAATATCCATTGCACGTTTTTTTTTAAAGGTTTTTTTTTTTTTTTTTTTTTTAAAGGTTTAATACGTACGTAAGGGATTATATAATGTGGAACAAAAATTTAATTAATTATTGAATTATTGATTAGATATAAGATATAAGTACTACGACTATTTCATCTCCTTAAAATCATAAGTTATTGAGTGATGGGTTAAACATTTTTAGGTGTTCTTCTAAAGCAAAAACCATTATTCTAGGATTTGAATGGAATTTTTTGTGCAGATTAAAGTTTGTGACAGATCAAAGGTTTAGCTCAATATAATCTACGTGCCATCAAGTACCAAATTTGGCAATTTGACATCCATTGCATTAATTTATAGAAAAGTTTATGGGTAGTTTGTTCCTTTGAAAGATCATTATACAACTATCTCCAATATACAATTGATACATTCATTATTATCATAGAGTGGATTTGATTAAGTTTACAAGTCTCCTATAGGTATATACTAATGAATGTTCTTTCTTTTTTCAATAAAATACATTGTAGCTCATAATTTTCGATTGATTCTCTACACGATATAGGATGGATAGACCACATGTCATGTACCATCATCCTTGATACTTCTTCATTGTTTTTTAAAGCCGTACATAATATATATTTGACTCCAGGTAATGCTTGTGTAGTATTAAAAGTAGGTTGGAATCCAATTCTTGTTTGATTTTCAGGATTAGTGATCTGGATTTGAAGTTTCTTATTGTAACTTTGATAAAATCAACTGTATCCTATCAATATTTTATTAAAGTTTGTTGTTGTTGACGACCCATAAATTGATACTTTAAAACACATACAGCTTCTATGGATATTGTAAAACTATATCGAAATTTTAATACAAGTGTTATATATGATTGACAATTAGTGATACACGTATATTTGATATGAAAAATTTGTAATGATTTCCTTTACTTAACCTTGGAATTATGAATTAATTTCTAATTTCTTCTGCCTTTCTTTGCTCTTGATCTTGGAAGTGATTTAGATCTAAAACTTGAGGTTGGATTAACATATTTAGAATTTCTATTCTTTGATTCTCTAACAGATTTCGATTTAGCATCTGGTGCTGGATCTTTTTGATCACTTTTGACTGAAGTAACATTGTCATAACCTTCCCTCCAAATTAATATAAAGCCTAAAACAATAATTGGCCATACCAAACACTGAATTTTCTCAGCAAAAGAGCTTGGTTGATTTTCTAAAAACATTGGGTTTTGAGCTAAATAAGACAAAGCTTCTATAGAGCTGTTATTATTCAACTTAACCACTTTTATACCTCGCATAAAGTTATATGGAGCAGTCAAAAGCAAATGGATCACAAACGATCCCATAAATGCAGCTATCATCAATCTTCTAGTATTTCTATACTTCAGCTTGACTTTAAAGTCTTGAATTGATTTCATCAACTTTCTAGAATGTGAGTATAAAGAAATTAAGAACAGCATTTCAGAGATACGGCTTGCAACCTTTGCATGATCCATGAGTGAACAAAATTCAGCAACAAAAAGGATGCTAATAAAATAAATTGGAAAGCAGTTATATTTGAATGTATCATCACCGGCTAAATATGTGGAGCTTTTATAAAGATTTAAATAACAAGAAAATTTAGTAAATGACAAAACAAAATAATAAATCAACAATTGATAGATTCTTAGTTTAGTACCCTGGTTTTCTAAATGAATCACGATTGCTTGAAAAATGGTTTGAAATACAAGACTAAAAAAGAATGAATAAATCTTTTCATGGGCTTTCTTGTTTGTTCTTTGATGAAATAATAACTTAGATGAGCTAAAGTGAATGTAAACGCCAATAACAACATAAATAACTGATAAAAGTATCAAGGATTGAAGCTTCTCAAAGCTTTTAAGATCCAAATATCCATAAGACCTAATATTTGACACTTTTGTTGTTGGATCTTGATCAGAATATTGATAAATAATTGTACAAAAATTACCAGCCTTTTTTATTGGATACTTCAACTCTTCACCAGGTCTCAAAACTCTATTTATGATCAAACTTTTTGTTTTAAAACCTTTCTTGACCTTTAAAGTAAAACCGTCCTTCTTTTTACATCTACCAGATTTAATCAACTCAGATGTGCAAGTATTGAAGTCTTCGTTTCTCAAGTACAAGTTACCATCGGCACTTTTGATTGGAATATTTGTCTTCCAAACATCATCATAATTGAAAATAGTCACAGAACTTCTTTTAGAAACGTCTGTTACTTTAACTTGTGGCTCAAACTTATCACTCAAACTTGGGTCTGGAAATGATTCACATTCATAATAAACATGTGATGCCAAACCATGAGCTAAAAAACTTAGCAAAATTGTAGCAAACTTCATCTTTTGATTGATTTGTATAATCTTTGTGAACTCTTTTAAATAAATTGAAGACAACCTTTTTTCAATTTTGCGTTTTCATTTATAAATTAGATCAATTTTTGAAAATATGGTACAAAATTTAATGACACAAAAGCAGGGCGGCACAAACACGAGTTTTTTTTTCAGTTTTGGGGGGAAATTTACCAATTAATCAAACTTAATTTCATCAAAGATAAATTTGCTGCTCTAAGCTCACAGAAGTATCAATATACAGCTTCTTTTGGTGTCTTGCGTATTCATAGGTTTCAACAATAACAAATTTTAATATGACCAATTCTTAAGGTGTATAACAAAGGGCGCGTGAATCCGAAAATTAACACATTTATCCGTTCTTGAATCTTGTAACAAACCCATCTGACTCAGGAGGGCTTTAGGATCAAAGTCTAGTGTTGTGAGAGCAGCGTAGTAACATTTTTGCTGTTTTCTTTCCCTTTCTTTATGATTCAAGTATATGGGTTTTTGCTTCCAAAAAAAATTTTGCCGCTGAAGTCAAATTAAGTAACAGGATAGTCCAACCCTCATAATAATACGCTCTGAAAAAATTTGAGTACCATCTCATCTCTCCTTTCATCAAAGAGTATAACGTGGAATCACCAGTGTGAGAAGAAACAGAGAATCTAAAACATACTAAACATCAATATGGTACATCACTTTAACAAATTTTTAACTCTTGATCTTCAGAAAGAAAAGCAAAACAAATCAGCGATAATAGGATGATGAAAGTCGCCTGATGAAAATGTATAGCCATCAAAACTTAATGGAAATATAGCATCAAACATAATACTTTGACGTCTTAATAAAATAACATGGCAAGGAATCTTGTGTATTAAGAATTGATTTGAAATAGAATTTGTGTGTATGACATATCATCAAGGAATCTGTGATTTTAGGTAAAAGCAAAACGGTAACAATTTAGTGGTTTCTTATTATCTCAACAATATATTTCTGAATGCTGGTCAGTCGTGACCCTGGATGCAACAAACAAATAACAAGCTTGTAAAGCATACCATCATTAGAGTATATCTGTAAATGAAAAACAGTTCCTTGAGATGATTGTATTAGCATGGCTTCCTCTTTGATAATCATATGAAATCAACTGGATCTCCAATTTAGGAACTCTTATAATTAACAACCCAAAAAAATGAGAACAATACGTAAGGCAAATACTTGAAAAATTGGTTACAAATAATTTTCAAAATAACATCTCAGTCACAACTTTCAATTTTTTGCGACGATACGTCCCATTTTTAAAAATAGTATCAATTTTATGTGAGCTTGCTTTATTTAAAATAGAAATGATAATCATTAATTGAGTTATTTTGGAAATCAGGGATCAGGGGCAATCAAGATATTCATATGCTTTTCATAATCTTTTTGTGTAACTGAATCAGAGGAGGCAAATCCTTTAAAGTGTACTCATAGATATAGTTATCATTGAGACATTCTCAAAAACACAAGCAATTTAGTTGACATTCTATTCTCTGTTTTGATCAAGAGATTACAATTTTATACTACAAATATTTTGGTTTTTTATATTGGCTAGTTTTCGCGCTTGAAATCTACAATTTAGTAGTACTAAATTGAGGGCGCGTAAATCCGGTGGAGTAGAATATATTTTTACTAACAAAGTTAGAATTTTGATAAAAAGAGTGCTTTTAAATTAGCACCATGGAAAATGTTGACTTTGAATAATATACAAAACATATTATTTTCATCATGTAAGCACTTTAAATTTTTAGAATTTTGATGCTTTTTCAAAAAGACAACTTTAAATTTTTTAATTTTACTCCAAAATTATATATCTTGAAAATTTTCAATTTTTATATTAATTTTTTGGGGGTTTTCGATATATAATATAGCTCATTGAGAAAGTGGTATCTTCATTGTCATATATTATGTAAAAAAATCAATTTATTTACAACTTTGAAGAAAGTTATGACATTTTGAATTCATTAGTAAAAATTATATATGGATTATTACTCAGCGCTTACTCATCATTTCTCTCTGCATTATAGATAATTACTTTGAACTTTGAAGTTGAAGTTTACCAATTTCATACCAAACCATATTGTTTTATCAGTGACTACAGTATAAGTAACTCTTTTCAATAGCTATGAACCCACAAAGTAGCTCCAAATATCAGCTTTCACTTTGACACCAAGATAATTTAGTATCGTTCCAATTCTGTTGAGAAAACTATTTTTACAGATTCAAGCGCAAAATGATTTATCCATCAAATCATTAGTATGTTTTGATAGAAATGACGTCTCTTAAATGATTTCCAAAAGAGCTACTAGAACGCTTGAATTCTTTGATATTCATAGAGAGAGCTGATCTCATATTTCTTCAGATCATGCCTGTTAGGACTTGAGTCAAATATAGCTTACAGTGTTCAATAAAGTAATGTTGCAGTGTACTTTATCAAAAATCTAGGTTGATTATGATTATTAGGTTAATACCTTCAGATAACTGAATATCGTTGGTGCTGTAATACAGCAAGTTTAGTTGTAGGTAATTTATTAGATCATGCAAAGAAAGACTTGTTTCTGATATTCTGCAATTATTCTTAAGTAAATGCTTTTGGAGAATTGATCTCTATAAGCGAAATCACTATATAATTATAGCTACAACTATAAATAAGTACACTCACCGCGATGATTGTATACCAATTATTTCAAACATCTTCAAGCTCAATAATTAAATCCAGACGTTTCATTAATATACAATTTGCAATATAATTTCAGTACAAAATTTCAAATTTATCGGTTAACTATGAAACTGTGGAACAATGTAATGCAAGTACCCCTTTATAAATTCCATTTTGTTAATAGTATTGTTCATTATCTGTTGAATAGACCATAGAATTAACTTGAGATTCACTATTATTAGGCTCTTCTTACTTATAAATTTTAGTGGAATACTTATCGGTGATGGTTATAGGTAACCTTCCTAATTGGGTATCTCCCGCTGAAATAAAGAGAAAAGTTGAAATTTTCCTTATAAATTTCTTAAATCCTTTGGAATTAAAAGAAAAGAAAAAGAAAAACAAAAAAATAGTAGAGCTGCGAAATTTAGTAAAAAGTAACTCGTAATTTTATAACGGTTATACATAATTGGTTGCACTTTACAAATTGGGCAAAGTAAGTAAAAAGAACTGACTGATCACTGATCAGGTTTAGTGGAAGTTTTAGTTATTGGTCACCCCATACGGAATAATATAGGACACGGATAAACAGGTGTAGCCAGTGATATTCGACACATTACAGTGGGATTCCCTTGATAAGCTATGATCCTGGTTCGTAGATTGTTGTTCTTGTGGTATGATTATACGTATTACGGTTCAAGAATGTTGAGGGTGTTTTGTTCTACTATAGCGAATCATGCCTTTGCAATACTCATCAGTGATCACCGACTAACTTGCGATACATCACCAACCTTATCCTACAATACTTGTGAGCAGTTAACTCCATGAACACTAATAAAATATCTCAACTTGTAGTAAATATCATGACATCAACAAGTTTCAACAACCCACAATTTTTAAAGTCTATGACTAAATAATTTCCTAAAAGTTTATTAAGGTTTTAAAATTTAAAGTGTATAATTTCTTATATTCGCGGTTCGCGGTGATCTGAAAACGGGAATCTTCCGCTTTGGGATAATTTGCAACCATTTTCTTTCTTTTGCAAGAAAAAAAAAGTCTTTAAAACGAAATTTGAAATGGACGATAAAAATATTGAAAATGGAAATGAATTCTTGCAACAAACTTCACTTTAACATCAACCAATTTTTTCGCCATCCGCTATCAAAACCGTTCAAATAAACCATTATAACTATCAAATACCCAGTCACATCCTTAATTCACCACTCAGATACTCTTATTCGCAAAGCGCTAGTTTCTGTTTTTTTTTCCTCGTTGCATAGAGTCATTCCACTCCCTATTTACGGATAAAATAACATCAACAAAACAACAAAAAAGATCAATATTACTATAGAGAAAGAGCTAATCATCATGAATTCTCAACTCAACAACAACCAAGAAAACAATGATCAAGTCTTTTCTGAGGATAACACTTTTAGAAATGTGTTTATAAATCAACCTGCTACTACTAATCAAGATTCAAACCATACCAAAAGAGCAAGATTAGATTCAACAATTTCTTTGAATCAACCTACAAATAACACTACTAATCCTCCAAATCATCATCATCATAGCCATCATACACATCATACACATCAACATTCTCATTCTCATGAAACTCCAGTCAATATGGAAAACGGCAAAATTGATATTCCACCATTATCTTTTGAAAGTTGTAATCAAACTTTGGTTTCCACACCAACTGCTTGTACTTCAATGGAAGATGTTAATGAAACTTTATTGAAATCAACTGATGAATCTCAAGTTATTAATGAAGATTTGAAAAATCAAGATACAATTAAACCTCAAGAAATTAAAATTCCAAATCAACAATCATTACAATCATTACAACCTCAAAGAAAATCATCAACAACAACAAAAAGAAAACATAAATCACTTGCATCTTCAAAAATACGTAAATTTAGATCAAGATCATTACCAAATATCCTTTTTTCAAATAAGAATTTTGATTTATTCCAATCAAAGATTAAAGAACCTACATCATCTTCCTCAATTTTCAAAAATATCAACTCCTCATCAAATACCGCATCATCATCATCAAATCATACATCATCACAACCTCCATTACCACCAGTAAACATTCAATCATTACGTGAAATTGATTTGGCTGAAATTCTCAAGAATCCACAATTAAGACATGATATCCTTTTTGATCCTCAATTACAATTTAGACCAAATTTAGATGGTGAAAGAGGTCGTCGTAAGAAGGTTACTTATGATAAATATTGGTCAACTGTTCAATTTGAAATTGAAGAATATTATCAACAAAAGACAACTCTTGATATAAATACTTCAAGATTACCAAATTTATTCCAAACTTTGAGAGATATCTTAATTTCTTTATTACCTTCTAAAGATAAACAAACTGTTATTGATGTTTTAGATATTGAATTAATCATGCAACAATTAGCTAAAAATTCTTTAGATTTAGTTGAATTAGCTAAATGGTTAAGTTCAATTTTTAAATCTCATTGTGCTCCAATGAGAGATTCTTGGGTTGATGAAATGTTGATGAAATTTGTTGAAGCTGATGAAATTAAATCTGTATTAAAATTAGTTGAAGGTTTAAGAATGATTTTCACTATTTTAGAAGCTATGAAATTAGATGTTGCTAATCATCAAATTAGAATCTTGAGACCCGTTTTGGTGGAAACTGCTGTTGAATTTGAAAGAGATTATTTCTTACAAATGATTGCTCGTTGTAAATTAGATATTTCAGATTCAATCAAATGGTTTAAGAATTTCCAAAAACAAAATCCAGTTTCAACTCAAAATAATAATCATGATGCATCAATCCAACAAAAAATCACTACAACTCAAGCTATTTTATCATTATTATCATGTTCTAAAATGGTTTCAGAATTTCCTTCATCATTAGCTTTTGATCATGCCAGATTAATCGTCTTGAGAGCAAATGTTCGTCAAGTAGTTTGTTTACAATTATGTATTGCTCTTTTCAAACAATTAGCTCATCAATCACAAAATTCTCAACAAATCACACCAGAAATTTGTGAACTTTTGAAAAAGGAAATTTTAGCATTAATCACTGATGAAAATGGGAATGTTAAATGGACAAGAAATATTGGTGCTATTGCATTACAAATTTCAAGACATGCTAATCCTCAATTAGATGTTCCAAATGAAAAAGTTGTTGAATTTGCATTCAGTTGGTTAATTAAACAAACCCAACCATCATCACAAGTTTATCATCTTATGGAACAACGTGTTTTCAACATTATTAAAGATAAATGTATTTCAGAATTAAATCAAATTTCTTCATCATTATCATCATCAACAAATACAATTGAATCATCTGGTAAAATCATGCCAGTTGCTGGTAATTCAATAAATTCAATCCCATCATCATCACCATCAACTTCAACTTCAAATCCTACAACAATTACAACACAACAAAATGAAGAAGATGATATTGGTTCTATTGCTTCAAGAATTTCTTTATTAGCTAAATTCCATTGGAACGTTTTTGGAAGTTATTATACATCAGATTAAAAAAAAAAATAAACTCTATGTATCATTATTTCATTCATCATCATTTATCAATTATCAATTTATCATATCATAATATTATGTACCTTATTATGTCATCACAAAAAATCATTTCATCATATACTATAAGTAAACTAATCCCCAAGAAAATATCAAATAATCATGTTCATAATTTTTATCAAAAATTTGATTAATTTCTTGTTATTAACAACTATTGTTTTCTTCTTGCTTTTCCAGTTTTTTTAATGTCCTTGGTATTCTTTCTTTTTGGTTTTCTTCTTTATTATTATATTATTATTATTATTAATTGTTTTCATTTTTTATCAAAAAAAACAGGTTCTAAAAAGGTTATTCTTATACATATATATTTTTTACTCTTCGGTTTATTACTTTTTCTTTATTCATTCCTTCAGCTATCTTTTTTTTTTTGGGATATATAATAAATTTTTGGGAAAAGTTTTAACTTTTAATGCATGGATGGTCATAAAATATAAAGATTTTGTAGCTTACATTCAATAAATCACAAACATGATTAAACGAACTAGAATTATTAAAGTATATTAAAGATATACAAATGTGTATATGCAAAGCTTTTAATTACTTTCTGATTCTTTTTCAACTTCATTCTCTGTTACACCTTGTTCTTCATCAGAAATTTTTGGTGTTTGATCCATTTTTGGTGTCTTCTTTGTAGTTAATAAAACTAAGAATAAAGCACCAGAAGCTGCAAAAGCTAAATAAAAGTTCTTTTTAAATTTATCATGTAGCTTTAATCTTGATTCAAAGCTTTTATCTAATGTTAAATCACCAACTAATGAAGCAATAATAGCATTACCAAAACAAATACCAATCTGACCTGCAGTTTGTAAAATACCACTAACAACACCTTGTAAATGTAATGGTGTACCTATAATAATATCAGTCCAATAAACTTGGAAGTATAGATTTGTACCATAACCAATGAAGAACTGCGCAAAACATTCATATTTCCAATAACTATTCTTTACTCTAAAATCCAATCTTGATAACCAAACACACATTGTTAAAACGATGATTGGTGAACAACAAATAACAAACTTTAAACCAAACTTTTCTGCATAACGTTGACGATATACTGTAGCACCAACTGCTAAACCAAGAGCTAATGGTAAAACTTTAACAGCGGTCATTATTGGGGAATCTAATGTGACGTATTGATAATATTGAATAACTGTGGTCATCACTGCGATATAGTTGATGTAAAATAAAAAAGTTGAAGCCAAGTATTGATAGAAATTTCTAATTGATACAACTTCACGAGGGAATAATAATTGAATCTTATATCTCCAATCATTTATACCTGGGATTTCACTTTTTGTTTCCACAGATTGATTTGATGGATTTAGTTCATCTTTATCTTTATTTTCTTCACTTAGATGTGTTGTATTAGATTCAATGGATTTGATTTGTGAATCAACTTTGTCCTTGAATAATTGAATATAAACCATTTCAAATAAGATGACACCGATGAGAACCAAGCCACCAATGATTATTGGAACATAAGCTGCCGGTTTTTGCCATGAATGTCCACCTTCTGTAAGACCCAAAATAATCAATAATAACCCTGCAACTAAGGCAAATGAACCACCAAAATCCAAATCTTTAATTTTCAAGTTCTTATGTCCTTCAGTTTCATCAATTGGAATGATTAAGAAGAATAAAATTATAAATGAAAACATACCTACTGCAAATGTGAAATAGAATAAACCTTTATAACCAGCTGAGGAAACACTAAAAGCACCACCAAGAATACAACCAATACCGAAAACAGTAGTCAAAGACATAATAAACCCAGTTAATGCTTTTAATAAAGCATCACCTTTGAAATAATTACCTGTCATAGCAAATGTTGAAGGAATCAAAGAACTTGCAAAGATTCCTTGAATAGCTCTGAATACAATTAATGCAATTGGTTCTTTGACAATAACAGCGGTAATCAATGCAAAGATAGACATAAAAAACAGTCCACATAGGAAAACATTATGAGGTCCTAAAACATCAGCCAATTTACCAGCAATAATAATAAAAGCACCTAAAGTCAATGAATAAGCAGAGAAAACCCATGATATTGTTGTAGTACCAGCATTTGGGAAATGTTCAGTTATGGAAAAAATTGCAGTTAAAGTACCTGAAACGTTCAAGTTATCTAGAGAAGTTGCAATGATAACTAAGAAATAAATCCATACTTTATACTTGTTTTTAGTCTCTAATGGTACTAGATTTCTACCTTTCCTTAGTAATTCCATCTTATACTTGAATTAATCTTTACTAGCTTGTACTGTCATCATAACCAGCACTTAGCGCCATGGGAATACCAGGATTTCACCATAGCTTTATATCTGTAGCATCCAGAGACCCTTTACTAATTTGTCATTTGTATCTGCTTCAAATATGGCATCAAACCTGATATAGAGTAGTAAAACCGTTAATTCCAAATCAAAATACGTCCCAAATCGCATTCGCCACTGCATCAAATTTGAAAGCTTATAAATTTGAAACGGAATTCCGATGGAGTTCCGATGGAGTTCCATTTGATTTCAAATTGATAATGATTAATATAAGTTACGTACGCCTGGAAAATTGTAACTTGTAAGTGGTAAGATGCCAGTCGTAACTTGACAATCAAGGTATATTCCATGACACCATATGTGGCTTCTTTTATTATTATCATTCATGATGAGTACATACTACATACCAGTACAAATCATCAGCCGTCCAATGTGACTAATAAAATCATATCCCGTAAATATCCATTGTGATTATAAAAAGCTTTAGAAAGCTATATATAAGTATATATATGCATTACCCTCGAATGTAGTTTACAACTAGTTTAATTGAATAGTAATATATTAGGGCGAACATATCCACTATTTTAATTGCCAGTATAAGTTTGTGACTTACTGGTTCAGGAGATCACTTTTTGAAAGATATCTTTGAATAGGTTCACTTATACATTGCACTACAGTACCGCCCAATATATTTAGCAGATGTGATGTTAATCAGATCATATAATCCACAATATACAGATTTTGATGGGGCTTTTTAAAAATCATAATCAATTGGACTAATCTTTGGTATAACCGCCCACATAAGAACATAACCAAAAATCAAAATACTAATAAGTATAGGTAATATATCTAATGACATTGTATGTGTTATAATTCCAATCAGGAAAGGTAATATAGCTGAACCTGAACCACCAAAACTTGTCATGATACCAACAGAGCTAACATGTAAGTTTGATGGTAAAATCTTCATTAATGTGATTGTAGCTGTAGGAAATAATGGACCAATGAATACCCCGGATATGACGACTATGATGTTTGTCATTAGTGTAAAATGCTTATATGATGTTGTAACATTCCAAGTGAATATTGTATAGATTATGTAAAACATTAATGAAAGAATACCATATGTTAAATTAGCTCTATATTCATTTTTGAAAAATCTTGTAATAAATCCTAATAAAACTCTACCTAATGTTAATCCAATCCAAAACCAAGAAACAATATATGATGCTGATATTTGATCAAGCTCTTTTATTTTCAATAGATAACTTAATAACCATGTTCCAATTGAAACTTCACTTCCTATATAAAGAAACAAATAACTAGCAAATAACCAAACCAATGGCATTTTCAATACAATACCTAAAGTTCCCCCTTGATGTTGATTTTCACCTTCTTCATGAGATTCATCTTTGGTAATATCATAGTGATATTTTTCTTTTGTTTCATTCTTGAATACTAAAGCACAAATAACAATAGATAAAATTGTGATACATGATAAGATCATATAATAAACTTTGAAATCATTATCAAACCATTTTAAAAGATAACTTATGAAAGGAGGTGCAATGAACGCTCCAACACCATAAAATCCATGTAAGAAGCCCATCAATTCATTATGATCCACAAGTGAACTTAACCAAACATTCATACATGAATCCATAAGTCCAATACCCAAGCCCACAAAATAATAAATAATGATAAATAGTTTGAAAGGAGGCTTGAATGAATTAACAAAATAAACCAGGAATAAAACAACATTACTAAGGATCATAACACCACGTCTACCAAATCTATTATGGAAATATTCATTACTCAAAGCACTTGTTGCAAAGCCCAAGAATTGAATCACAAATACAACTGAAATTGAAGTTTGTTCAACTTGATAGTAATTGATTAGTGTGGGGATTAAGGTACCCACAGTTTGATCATTCATACCAACAATAACCATACAACCAAAACATGTTGATATTTGTAACTTTAACAATTTGGATAACCTCCAATCTGGCGGCACAATTTTCAATTGATTTCCTTGATAAGTTATCACTCTTGGTATTTTATAAAACTGTTCCTCTTCTTCTTCTAGTCCTTCTTCATTGAATGTAGTTGATGCAGTGGTTTGTTCTGGGATAAGGAAATCTGACAGCTCAAAATCTTGGTCTTTAGACATCTTTGGTAGCTTAGCGGTTATTCACTATGTTGATTAATTCATGATTGTGATGAGAAAAGATCAAAATCATCACTTTTTCATTGAAAGTTTTCTTCTTTTTTATAATCTTATTAACCGCTGAATCATTAAACTCTAATCAAATATGGAAATACCGAAAATTGTAACGATTATTAAAAACGCTTCCAACATCCAAAATCGAAAACCAAGATTGGTTCACCAAACAACATTTTATATACAGTCAGTATAGACAATTCTGAAATTTTCAATAAGAAATCACCTAATTATTTATAATTAATGTAGTTTGAATTCAATTGATCATCCAAGTTATTAGTCAAGATATTCAAGATTTTTAAAAAGAAATGACAATTATCATTCAAAAAACAGCTGGACGTCAATTATCTATCATGGTTCTTATTTCTTCATGGTACCATTGTCTACACCTCTACAAAATTCATTATTAATCATTGTTCTTCTAAATACTGTGCAAAACTCATATATATAAACCGTAAATCTCATGATCATAACATCATATAACTAGGTAATATGGTAATATACCTGGTGACTTGTGACATGATTAAACTGATCTTATATATTCATTTGATAAATTCAATTCAAATCAAACCTGAATGAATTCAGAAATATTTAAATCTGGATCATGAATTCTAATTAATACGTAGAATATATTTATTTAATGTTATACTATATAATATATTAATATTTCAAAAATTAAGTTTCAGAGCTGAAGGATTTAGTTCATCACTTATAGCTCCTTATTCAAATCCACATCGCGGAAATGATTACCTAATTGTAGATTTCTCGATGTACACTGACGTCCCGGATGCTCGTTTTTTTGTATGGGAAAATTCCGATCGCTAACAAAATTTCGACAGACCTCCAAATTTTGGCCCAAATTTCCAGATTTGAGACAAAAATTTGCCAGAACACGACAAATGTATATAGATAATTAAGAAGATATGTATTTAAATAGTAGTATTAG